GGCATCCCAAATGAACTAATAAAAAACTGTGAGTGTGACAACCTATGATTAACAAGCCCTCATAGAAAACCTCTGATGAAAGGGCCTGTTGAGCTTTTGAAGTGAGTTTAATATTGCCAGTAAAAAAAAAAAAAAGATTTTCTTAATAATTAGCATCTCGTTTGGGAATCATACTATTCTCCCCTCCTTGTTTATTTTGAGTTTTATTTTTTGAGGCAGGGACCCACAATGACCTTGAACTTAGTATATATGACAGGCTAGTCTTGAACTTGAAATCCTCTTGTTTCAGCCTTCCAACTTCCAGGACTGCAGATGTGTAACAGTGAGCTCTGCACATTCTATCCTTTGATATATCCAATATCTTTGGTTTCTCTGTTCTGCGCATTGCTTGGGTTTTCTTCTTTAATTGACCCATATTCCCAAAGATAATACAAGACAATGGGGTATACTGTATCTGCTTTGTTGGTAATGGGCTCTTAATAAGTAGATGTCATTTCTTTTTTAAATTACTCATTAGAAACAGTCCTATTTTTTTTCCTAGTTCAGGATTGTGTGTACCTGTTCACTGACTATCACCACTGAAACATGGTTTCCAATGATGGTCTTCTTGATTTTTGTGTTGGATTCTTACATTCACAGATGTTATTCTAAATTTTTGCACCTGTTCTACCAGCATTTATTAGATAGAAAGAATGAGTGAAAGAAATAATTGAATATGAATTAGTTCATAGTTCATATCCTGCTTGTTTCACTCCTGCTTATATTCATTATGGATTTCATTTCTTCAGCTTCCAAGGCTGTAGCCAGATAAGCAGTGAATGCATGCAATACTGAACAGTGAAGGAAACTAGGTTCATGCAGAAGTGTCAAAGATATTAGCACATCATGTAACATATGCACAATGACTGTGGTCTTCCTAGAAGTGAGAATGGATGCAAGGAGAAGGAATGTATGCTAATATGTGTTTATGTTTGAAAGATGCTCAGTGGCTTTACCTCATTGATCTCACCTGAAACAAAGAAGCTCATGCTCCTCACAGTGTTTAAATGATTATAATTTTACATGGGACACATGGAACTAACTTCCTGAGAAGGTCAACTAGCATCCTCCCAAGCGAAAATATTAGTGTATCAGTGACAGTTTGAGGAAAGACCTGGGAAACACAATAACGAAATCAAGGACAGAAGCCATATATATGTATGTGTGTGTGTGTGTGTATATATATATATATATATATATATATACACACACACATATATATATATATACACACACACACACACACACACACACACACATACATATATAATAAAATGTACCTGTCAAGATTTCAAGATTTTAAAAGAGGAGAATCTGAACTAGTCCACAAGTTTGGACTGATCTTGTATTCAGTCCTAAAAAAGACATCTCTCGGAGCTCAGACACAGACATCCCAGAGTTGGGAAAACTGATAACTTGGACGACATCATTAAAGGCTCAGCATCAGTTAGACCAGGTACATGGATGTTCCTTGCATCTCACTCTCTGTCAGCTTTGGGGAACAATCGATCCTCAGCTCAGAGATTTGCTCTTAATTAAGTCTAGAGCATGTCTTTCCCCCTGGGCAACTTTGTCTGACAGAACATTCCCCTACACCTTGCTCTTCTTTCTTTGTTTCTTCCTAAGATGTGTTCAGGTTAATCAATTCTAGGTCTTATACGACCTTTTGGACTGAGAGATGAAGACTGCTCTTGAATCATATTGTCATCTGTATTGCTATTTAAATTACCATAAATTGGGTGTCTTAAGAGGAAAGAGGTTTTTTTTTCTCACAGTTCTCAAAGCCAGAGGCTCTATTTCTTCTGGATTTTTAGACAAGAATTTATTCTCTTCTACATTGTTGTGATGACTCTGCATGTTGCTTAGTTTGTGACCATACAACTCCAAATTCAACTTTTCTTTTCACAAGGTCTTTTCACTGAGAATCCTTCCTGTTTGTGTTTCTGACCAGGATACATGTCCTTGGATTTACTCCATTTCAGTAATCTATGATAACCTCATCTTGAGATTCTCATTTACTTACATCTGGAAATACTATTTTTTTCCCAAATAAGGTCACGTTCTAAGATTCACGGAATAAGGCATAGTCATCTTTTTGCCGGTTACCATTCAAACTATGACAACAGCTATTTTTTGTTGTTGTTGGTTGTGAGACAAACTCAGGACCTGGATGCTGTCCATGAGCTCTTTTGCTCAAGGCCAGCATTCTGCCACTTCTAACCACAGCTCTACTTCTGGTTTTGTGGTGGTTAATTGAAGATAAGAGTCTCACAGACTATCCTGTCTGAGCTGGCTTGGAACCATGATCCTCAGATCTCAGCTTCCTGAGTAGCTAAGATTACAGACATAAACCACCAGCACCTGCTCTAACCTATTATACCATCTTAATCACTCTTTCTCTCAGTGTGCCTTAAATTTTGAGAACTGTGACCCTTTAGGGGTAATATGATAAAAGGAAGATTGTATTTATAGATAAATATATGTTTCAATAAATTCATATTCTGTTTAAAATTTCAAAAGATTAAGGCAATACGTGAACTATATATCAAGGACTTAGTCTGTGTTTTTCTTGAATGTTAAAACACAAAATTAGCAACCTTTCTTATTTGTGATCTGGTTAAGGTAGGATAGTCCAGGATTGTTGCCTCTTTTGATCAAGATAACATATATTATTCTGGTAGTTCTTGTTAAGACCGTTTTGAGAATTTCAGGTCTCCCTGAAGTGTTCAGTTATATTAATCACATTGCATATGAAACTCCTTACGCTGCTATTATTTCCTTTAACTTCAAGTATATATACCAAGTCTGTTTTTTCTTTCTAATCCAGTACTTATGTCATTACCAGAGGAAGGATTTGACATTTCTTCCTCTTACATCACATTTTATTAAATTCAGCCTATCTCTTTAGACTGTCAAGTCCTTATTAGGCCTTGATTCTTTAATAAAGCATATTGAGTGTTCCTTCTAGTTTGTGTCACCAGAAAGTTCAATTTCCCTTGATATGCATTATTTTCATGACTTCAAGTCATTTGTAAGAGTGACAAAGACAAAAGGCATCAGAAACTTGCAGCTAGCTATTCATACCTCCCTCTTGTTGATTTTAATACTCTAATTAGGTATTCTTTAGCCACATAATTTCATGAGCACCTGGATCCTAGGTTTCTTCCCCATGTTCCTCCTTGCTGTCAGCCATGAAAATCATGTGCCTCATGTTTTCCTCATGTGTCTGCTTAGTAATTTGTTCAAAGAGATGAAGTGATTTTATCTGACATGGTGCCTTTTGTGATTCATAAGGTATCTACCCTATTTGGAAAAGGCAGAACTGTTTGGTTTTAGCCTCACTCACATCCTGCTACTCAGACGACTTGAACTCGGGAAAACATACTAGATAGAGAGAGTGGCATTTGAGTGTGGAGATTTTGAAGGCTGGACAAGGAGGGAAGGAAACCTTTCTCAATGTCTTCTCCCACTGGCATGTTTTCAGTGATGGCCTTATCAATTTAACTCCCCTTTCTTCAAACAATTAGACTTTATGCTAGGAGGTAGCTATTGTGTTAACCATTAAAAACAGATTGAGTGGGAACTCAAACATTTCAGTGAGATGGAAACATCTCACTGCATGACTGTTCCAAGAGTGTACTGAATTTGGAAACCATTGGCTTTAGTGAGAGTGCAAGAAAATGGAGAAAACCTAGCACAGAGAGAGAGAGAGAGAGAGAGAGAGAGAGAGAAAGTTCACTCTGCTCTATGGTAGCAGCCACATACAGGGAGTGCTCTAGGCTTCACACTTCTACCACTCAATGCTAAATTATGATTCACATCAAGACCCTATAGTTTTTAATAAAGATAGCCCCACCCATCTATCCCTTAAAATACATTTGATCTCATTTTAGATAAGGCTCTAAGATTTTGAATGAACGGATCTGAAAATCTTTATAGTTTCTGCAGTTGCATTTTGTCAAGTGCTCTACATTTCCCCATTTCACAACTTATGTTAGTCCCCATGTTGCTCCTAAGCATTGTCCTCTTTCAGATAGTCACCTGATGAGCATTAGCATCCTGGTTGTCATCAAAGAATATTTGAACTTTGGCCTAGGAGAATTCAAGGCTGGTAATGTGATTAAGTCTTTCTGAAATCAACACCATCCAATTCCTTGAATGACTTCAGTTGTTCTAAGCTCCCAGCCTGATTTTTGTCTCTCCTTTACATCACCATGATGGATGTCTTGTATTGTAATTGCAAGACATACCACCTGAGTAGAATATAGATTATCAGTCTTTTTTCTATTTTTCTAGAAATGATTGATCATTCATATTTATAGGGCTATCAACTGCTGGGATTTGAAAAGGTCAGTATTGATTACCCAAGTCACAGAGAGGGTTTACTTCTTTACTATACATAAATATGAGTTCCTTTTATGACACTCCTGTGATTTTTCAGGGACTGAGGAGGGAGAGCAGGCAGCATTCATGTGAATAAGGAAGGCAGTAGGAATTTCAGATAATACAGTTAGATACAGTCATAGGATATCCTATTCTTCTCCTAACCCCCTCCCCCAACATAAATATTTATCTACCACTTTACAGAGGAGGAAACTAACCCTGTCCATGGATATAGATAAAATACCACTGCTTGCATTAAGAAGAGATGAGGAGTTTGCAATATGAGCAGTGGTTTTATCTGAGTGAGATTTTGGACTCTTGTGAATGTCTTTCTTTCTCCATAATTCCCTTTATCTTAAATGCTTCTTATGAATCACATATATAGCTTTTCCAGTGAACAAAAAAAGACTAATGAAAACCCACTTGGAACAGCATGCCAAGTGGCATGAAGATGGCTTTTCTTCTCACTTTGGAAGAAGAGGAAAAGTCCAGGCTGCACCGAAATCTTCTACCTATGATTTGCTGACTGATGACGGCTCTCTTGTGCTTTCTTTCCCTTCCTCCCCCTGAACACTTAGAGTTTTTGGCCACTTCAGCCTGCGCTCTGAGTGGCAGTTGGTGAAAGTGGACTACAAGTCTATCTTCAGCCGGCGCTGCACTAAGGAAGACTATCAGACCTGGCACCTGCTCAATCAGGTATGCCCCATGGCAGGGCAAGCTAGCTTCTAGGAGGAAGTTCAGGGTTTCATGGTCTCTGGGCCTTTGGGTGGGATGAAGGTAGTGAGCCATCTGAGGATGTTTATATAGGTTTGTGAGGAACAGTTGGGCATACCCCCCAGCTAGGTTAGATGGTATTTAGGGATCATTTAATTCTTCATCCTCATTGAGGTCATTGAGCTGCCTGGTAGATAAAAGATGCTCAAAACAGGACTTTTAGATTTATCTGCAGGGAACTGTGCAGCAGACAGCTAGGAAGCCTTTACTGGCTTGCTTGTCTGCCCTGTCAATGCAGAGGGTCAGATCACGTCTCACACCAACCTGATATCAGGGCACTCTGGAGAATTGGGAAGCGGACTGCTGGGAGAGAGGTAGTGGTAGGGTCATCTATCAATGATGGGTATCTATTCTTACTCGGTAAAGGCAGATATTTGCATTCTCTAAATGCTGGAGTCCTTGTTATTTTCTCCTCTTTTTCTTTGTCCTTGAGTATGATCTAGGACTTCACTAAGATTATTTGTCACAGAAAAGGAAGGTTTGGGGTCAAGTTTAATTTTATTGTCAAGATGATATGGGGGAAAAAGCCAGAAGTGGTTCTTTCCTGTAGATTTTCTGGGCAATGACATTGTCTGTGTGGTTTCTGGAGTGTGTGTGCTCTATCATGAAGTAGAAAAGAAGCAGGACTTGACAGCTTGTGACAGAGTGGGTAGAGGGTGGCTGGCACCAAACCAGCTTCCTACAGTAGTTTTTATGTGGTAGCAAAAGGTTCAGACTTCTGATCTTGGAAGTTCTGGGTGGTTGTAACACAGAGTGGCTTTAAAAAAAAATAGAATGCAAAGGCCAATTCCTTTAATTAACAAGCTAATTTATCACACGGCCTAAGTGTTTCTCTGCGTCTCACACTGTGGACTTTCTCTCTAAGGGAGAGCCTTGCGTCATGGGAGAAAGGAAAATATTCAAGAAACGCAAGCCAGGAGCTCAGTGTGCCTTGGGCCGAGATTACTCCGGGTCGGTAGTCTCAGAACCCTGTGTCTGTGCTGACTGGGACTTCGAGTGGTGAGTCCTCTGGCATTTCATAAACAATTTCAAACAGCTGTTTACCTGTTGGTAGGGCTGGGGTTTAGATGGAGTTAGCAGATGATCCAGAAATATGGGATGAGATCACTGGCTTGGTTTGGGGGCCACATGGAACAATGGGTTAAGATGGAGTTAGCAGATGATCCAGAAATATGGGATGAGATCGCTGGCTTGGTTTAAGGGCCACATGGAACAATCTGCATCATTGAAAGGAGGAGAGAAGGAAGGAGTCTCACAAGAATGATCGCTGCACAGTCTTAGCGGCCATTCCCAAGAAGTCTTCTCATCTGTCTGCATTGGACAATATGGAGGAGTTGGGCTGGGCATTGATGAAGCTCAGGGAACAACCTCAGACCACTCATCTAGTCTTCCTTGGTGCTGAATCACAGCGTCAAACCCAAATATGTTGAAAATGGTTGTTCCCTACCAGCAGCCCCCTTCCCTCCTTCCTCCTATTCTCATTTTGTCCAGTGGTTGGCAATTTGTCCCAGAAGCCTTCCCTTCCTATGAGGCATGTAACTGATAACACTGAAGGCAGTGGGGCCTATCTGCCCTTCATCCTCAGCATGTTCCCTGGAAAGTGTGGCTTCAGTGAGGGCCATTCAATGGGTTATGCTAAGTGGAATTTAAATTTCAATTGCAGGAACCTTTCTGGGGGCAATTTGGGATCTTTGAGAATGAAGAACATGTTTACAGTTGGGAAAATATCATTTTTTTGTTTTTATTTTTTGGTGGTACTAGTTTGAACTCAGGTTTTAGCGCTTGGTAAGTAGGCGCTGTACCACTTTATCCATCTCAGACCCTTTTTGGATTTTATTTGTTTCTGGATATTGTTTTTTTTCAGCTTTGACCTCAGACCATAATCCTCTTTACCTTTGCCTCCCACGTAGCTGTACCACCAAGTACAGCCCAGGGAAGTTTTTTTATTATGTTGCAAATTAGTCATAGCAATGTGCAAAGGAGTCCACTTAGAATTAGGGCTTTTGATGTATTGATAGTCATACTCAATTTCCAGAATATAAGTACCAGGATGCCTTGGGTCCTGTTGTAGATTGACCCAATTTAGGCATGGTACCTTTGAGTACGTCAGACTACAGATTTTCCTCTGTCTTTCTGATCTATGGCAAGTCCTCACCCATTGTAAGGAGGCATCATAAGTGAAAAGAAATAAGACCTGTAGCATAAATATTTTTATTTCAGTAATTCAGTAATATTTACTGTTTTGGATAAAAAATCCCATTGCTGATATTCACAGTATTTATTCTGGGAAATTTTCATAATCTCTGTGCCTTTACCACCTCAGCTACAAAATAAAAATATATAACACGTACCTCATTGGGTCCTTGGGAGAAATAAGTGAATTAATAAATGAATGAGTCTATACGATTAATATAGATAAGGCATTTATCCTAATAGTGTACAAGTTACGTATGACATATGGTAGCTATTGTGTGAATTTTGTGCCTCAGAGTTAACTAGTCTCCATAGGATTTCTGGCAGATAAACCAGAGCTTCAAATAAGCATGGTCTTCAAAGTAGTACCTTTGGGTGTTATCCATTTGTTTTAATGCAGGTGGTATTGCTTAAAGTATTTCTGAACCCTTCGTTGGGGATGGCTGTCAGAACCCATTTCTAAGTGTGAAGCAAGATCCTTTGCAAGCCTTTTGTAGTTCTCACATCTGTAGCTGGAGGTCTCCCCTGGACCCAGGATCTGGCAATGTCAAGATCCCTACTATTGCTATTTTAATGAGGAGAACTTGATCATTCCAGGATTGGGAAAGGAGTAGTTGGGATCCAAGGTTCAGGTTTAGTTAAATCCTGAGTTCAGTCTTATTAGTTGAGATTTACTTTGTGTTTCAGAAGGAATATGTTGTCTATATTTAGTTACTATAAAATTAAAACTCCTCTATGGCTAGAGAGGTTGAACATTTCATCATGTGTGTATACTTCCTCTTCAGAGAAGTTTCTTTTTAAGTCTTTAGCCCACTTATTTCAAATGACTGAGGTTTACTGCTACAGATGGAGTTTAATATAGAATGTTTCATTAACTCTAAAATAACTCCAGATGAAGTAGTTTTGACCTTTGGTATTGGAATTTTAATAGATACATAGTCTCCAAGAAGATTTTATAGATTTTTTTGCTGTAAGGTATTATGTGTTTACATTTCTACAGTCAATATACCTGATATTAAAAAGAAAGTAGGAGAATCTCAGGTCAGATGCCAGGTAAACAAGCAGAAAAGGTTTGATGCTATTGAGTGGTCTTACATTATCAGAAAACAAAACAACACCCCCAGCCCAAGAAAAATCATAGTCTAAATATATTGTTACACCACTTTTGAATGTGGGAGAAGTTCTTTGTCCCCCTACCTTTTATGAACATCAGTTACTTCTAAAAGTAGGTTACATTTGACATATGTCTATGTACATACAATATGCTTTGATCAGACACACCCTTCCTGTACCTGTCCCAAAGTCCCCACCGCTCCCCAAAACAATGTCGACAAGCTCCAACACCACTTTTCTTGAATAGCTCATCTTCCTACATGCTCCTGCTTTGCCTTCCCCCTTTTACTCTAACTATACCTTCCCATCATTCATTTATTAAAGGTTCGTTAATTGTCCAAAGGGTTTTCACCATATTGTTTCACACACACCTAGGCAGAACTTTACCCAGAGAAATTATTTAAGATTTCTGGAATTTCTTGGTTATTTGCCAGTGGTTGAGGGGGATGAAAACAGAACTAAATATTAACATTGTCTTCCTTGACTTTAAGTCAGTTTCAATAAGCATCTATACTAGTTTTCAATATATATATATATATATATATATATTCATAGAATATGGTTTGCCTCTTTACCTCGAGAAATTAATGCACGGCAGCAGTTTCGTAGACCTCTGTCCTTCTCATCGTCCTCCCTACCAGGAAGTATTATTAACTAAGGAAGCTGAAGTACCCAGCACAGCTGGCACAAGTGATTACCATGCACATTCCAGTAAGTGGTTTCCTTAAGCCAAATCAAGGCATGTTCAGTTGATTGGTCCAGGCCAAGTTTAAGACTCAGAGACAACAGGAAGAGGATATAACCCAGTTTAGTAGTTTGGGGATGGGAGCCATCCTCCTTTTGATGGAAGTGTTGATTGCCCGAGGGGAAGTCCTTTGCTACCTATGTCCTTACTCTGCTTAAAGTGAGGGGGTTTATAGATTCACAGAAGCATTTAACTGTCAGACACACTTTCCTTTTACAACTTTCACCAAGGTGGGTATCCATAATAATTGTGAGCACTGGGTACACATTGATGCTTCAACTGAGTCAGAGTCTCACACATCCCCTGCCCTAAGCTTAACATGGAGAGCTATTCCACACCATCTGTCCTCATGAGCAGGTGAGGAACACGTTCTCACTGAGAATTAAGAATGTTAGACTCAACCAGGTGGTAAAATAAAGGAGCCTGGAGGATTTGCTCTAACGTTATGTGAGAGACTGCTATGGGAGAATAGCCCTCCAGGAGATCCAAATACAAATATCCAGTAAGTAACTATGAAACTGCCCCTCATCTTTCCTTCATTCACCCAGCCACTCACTCCACGCTAATGCTCCTCAGGAGCTTACTGTGTACTAGGTGTTGTACCAGTTCTTTGTACATGAATGATCTTATCTAATCTTCTCTACAAAATTCGGCAGGAAGTGTTTGTTATTACAAGCAATGTATTGATAGCACAAATGTATGCACAGATTGGATAATCTACTCAAGATAATATTCCTACCAGATCCACCAGATCTACCAGAATATGGGTATCAAGTGGAGATGCAGAAAACAGATGGGACATGTTGAGGGTACCAGAGACATCAATTTAGCTGTACCCAAAGGTTTAGCATTATGTATAATGGATCACAAGGAAGCATATAGTTTTTTTGCGATAGTGGGCAAACTAAAGTATAAACAAGACAACAAACAGTGCAGTACCAAGAGTTATTAAGCTAAAAGAAGGCATAATAGGATAATAAAGAATATAATTAAGTGCCGTATTTCATGGTCCTAAACTACAGTATACATTCTTATAATCACAAGTCACATGTGGTTATTTGAAATAAAATTTAAATACAATTTCTTAGTGGCACTGGCTGATGGTTTCCATAATTGACAGCATGGATATAAAACAATTCAACTGCATGGAGTTCTGTTGGACAGTATTAGTTTTACTGTACCAGGGATGGTCAGAAACTATTGGACAAAGAGAACATGATGGAAGCTTCCTCTAAGAGGTAGTGGTGGAGCGGTGTAGTCTTCTTGCTGATTAACTAATGGAAAAATGCAACCTTTTGGAGAGATGAATCAGGTACTAACTGACATAAATGATATAAATGAGAACATTGTTTGTGAGTAAAGAGTTAAGGCATATGGACAGAGTGGGATTCGATTAGAAGAAATATCTGAAGGCTAATTGTTGAGTTTTTCAAACCATTTCTGTGATGTCTTGGTTATAATTGGCTGGGATTTTTCTTTCCTCCGTGACTCTGAGGTTTATGCCTTAGGATGACAGATGATGATGATGACATTAATTATTCATCCATCGCCATTATGGCTGCATCTGTTTGTGAGTGCTCACACTGTGCTTGGCATAGACCTTCCTGATTCCAAGCCAGGATGTTACCTTGCCTCCTATGATGGTACAGGAACACCTGTAGCATGCAGCCAGGGGGGAGGAGAGTGGAACCAGTGGTCCAAGGGTCCAAGAGGGACTGCTAGAGGTAAGATGTTATTAGACTGGGACCATGCCGAGAGCTTTTCTGTAAGACATGATGATGACTTCATAGTTGGCAGAGAATTTTCCCCGATGACTAGAAAGATGTCTTTTGTGATGGTAAAGATACAGAACAGCATTCCCTCCTGATTATCATCCCCATCTGCCTCTCTCAGAGGAGTGCAAACTTGAGTAAGTTATTTGGCCTCTTTGGGCTTTCTGCTTTTGCTACAACTGAAGAGACTAAGCCAAAGATGAACCAGTGTCCCTTTCTATACTGACACGAAGATTTTTTTTTCTTCACTTCTAGAATTGCCTGGCTCTTCTTAAAATTCAAACTTTTCCCTGGATGAGGTTTAGAAGATGTGCAGATAGACTCCTGGAAACAAACAAGTTTTCTCTCAAACTTCTAGAAGTTTAGCTTTTATTACCCAGAAAGCCATAGAGGTGACTTATTATCTTGAAGAAACCTGCTGGCATGTTTGCAGAATCTGTCAGCACATCTCCCTGAGGCAAATCAAACTTTCTGTTGCTTCATGTATGAACTCCCCCCAGTTATGGATACCCAGTTTCCTCAACACACCTTCTCCCTTCCCCTCCACCCACCCCCAGCAGCTGGAGCATTAGCTGGGAGCTACTTGTTGTCCTGAATCATGCAGACTCCTGAGTTGGGGAAAGGGCTGGGCAGTCTGCGGGATTTTCATAGAAAATAATGAAGTCTATAGCTTGGGGCAGCCAGATTCCATTAATGTTGTTGAGTATTCACCAGGTACTTTTTCTCTTTGGGGCAAAACAGCATGCTTGATGCACCTTTTTAAAATTGCATCACAAACAGGTAGCAGAGCTGAACAGAACTAGTGGAGAGTGCTATAGTTTGCACAAAGCATTAGAACAATTCCATCCTTCATGAGCAAGAAAGACCATCCTTCCTTCACAGATTACCAGTAGCTCTTAGGTTCAACAGGTTCATCTCACAAACCAGGATGGGAATTCTGTTGTAATGCAGACACACCACAGCCCAATGAATGCTTGGAAATAAGATAATCAGTGGTGTACTGGTAAATATTTAACTACCATCTCTCTGGGAACAAACAAATATTGATCGCTGAACATATTCCCACAATGAAAAATTTCAAGCTACCAACACATTATCAATGAATGCAAAACTGGGAAGAGATAGGTAGTAGTTTATCTCTTATAATATATTATATAATAGGCAATAGATTATATAATATATAGTTATATTATAAATATGTTATAAATTATATATTATGAATTGCTCCCCCCATTTAGACACTTAGAGGAAAATAACCTCAAAAGTAAAGACAATGTAGCACCATAATTTATATTTAACATGGTGTGCATTATATAGAATAGTAATAAATTCAATTCTATATATTATTTATTAATTGAGTAATAATAAAATCCAAGAAAAATGATGTAGTACTTCAGGCTTAGGGCATAAAGTAAAGGAAGGGTTTGCTGAGAATGTACATTTATGGATCTGGTCAAGGAAAATGTGGCAGATAGTGTACAGGAACTTATTAATCAGTTGCTGCCCATGACTGTACAGGTTTCTGAGCTTCCTCTGCTATATGAATTATTACACTCTTTAGTTGAGTTTGGGATATGTTGTATCTCCTTCAAAGCCTGAAAATCAATTGAAGGCAGAGCTTGTTATACTTATTTTATAGGTCAGAGGGAATATTGAATAACAATAAATGTGGGATCATATTTGCATTCCTGTCTCCCTTAGTTTCTATCCTAGAGACACACATATTAAATTTGCTTGGGTTTTCATTGGGCTTTCACAAAATCAAGGCTCCAAAAATATGGGAACTTGAGAAAGAATGCAGTATTGGGCATTGGGGAAGTAGTGACCCCTGGTGCTTTGTTTCTTTAATGCTCTATGGATCAATATTCAAATATCCAGATTGTGCTGCCTGGCCTGTGGCTGTCAGTAAACCCTTAGATGCTGAACCTGGAAGCATGAATTTCCCTGTCAAGAAAAGCCCCTTCAGTGACCTCAGGCTGGTTACCGGAGTGATAATCCCTTTTACTCACTTTATTACTCTTCTTCTCCTTTGACATTTACACACCTGGGAACTTTATGAAAGTCTACGGAGCAGGGAAACACCCTCTGGCTTTCAGACAGGGCCATTCCCCTCCTGCTCTGTCTTCACGTTTTCTCTTTGCACATGGGAGGAAAGAAGATAATCATAATCTTCTTCATTTTGTTATGGCTGATATTTTAGAGAACCAGGGGAAAGAGCCAGATTTTAATTCATTTTAGGGAAATATGGACTCCATTCTATTTGATCAGGAATAGCTTGACTGCATACACATATATTTACATAAATATATATTTATTCTTGTGTTTGAAAGAGGGTGAATTTGCAGAGGAAATGAAGATAAAAATGTACAAAATCAATTTTGGAATGGCATATCTTTAATCACAACCTAGAAATGTATTCTGACCTTTAAAGTCAGCTTCGTGGTTGCCATCCATTTATTTAATTTATTCAGCTGTGACCCAAACCAAACATGTTTATAAATTTATGACACCCCCACATCAATCCCCAAGCCATTGTATGCATCATACCTTTTCTAGTCTTGAATTTCTAGGTCATAACCTATCATTTTTCTTTCATGACTGCACTCCAAATGAATTCAGACTATTTTTAAATTGAAACTTACACTCTTTTCAAACTCTGAGTATTTGTTCACACCAGGAAAATTAAAACAATGTGTTATGACTCACTAAATTGATAGTGATAGGGCATACATATATTTGTGTGTGGCTGTGAGCATTTTACACACATGCCATTCCCCAATATTATTTTTCTTGACAGTGACTATGGCTATGAGAGACACGGGGAGACTCAGTGTGTCCCAGCTTTCTGGTATAATCCAGCATCTCCCTCAAAGGACTGCAGCCTTGGTCAAAGCTACCTCAACAGCACTGGGTAAGTAAAACACTTGGGGAACCTCAACTTGTTTTCCCATTTGTCTGTGGTGGAAAGAATAGGAACGCATCGCTGCTGGAGGAGATGAAATGTATAGATGGTTCTTTTGTGCCTTTGGCTTTCGAAGGAAATTGAGGAAATACTGCAGCGTGAACACCATGGAGAAGCGTTAGAACACCACTGGGAACACCACTGGAAAGTATATTAGAAGAGATTCTGATCATTCATATTCCAGTGGCTTTTACCATGATTCTTAGTAGATACTGATTTTTTAAATAAAAACTTCTCTTCTGGGAAGGAATTTTGTCTTATTTTGAAGGCCTCAAATGAAATAAATTAATTCGAGTGATACACAGAAATCACAGTGTTCTTTAGTGGGAGACAAATGGAAGTTCTCACTCACAGATACATACAACTCCAAATGAAAACCCACAGTCTCATCAGAGGCCGACCTGGTAGTTCTGCAATTGGATGTGTGCTTCTCCCTTGGTTTATTAACTGCTTCTCAGATGCTCAGAAAAGTGTGTTTTTGTTTCCTTTTTTTCTGGGAGACTTGTTATCTTGTCTTCCCTTTGTAGTCTCCATGGCTTGGAAGAGATCTTTCAAGTAGCATGTGGAAAGGCAATCCTTCTCAAATTCTAATGTGTTTGCACAGCTATCTGAGGATCTTGTTAAAACTCAGCACCAGACCTGAGAGATCAGAGGTGAGGTTGAGATTCTACATTTGTAGTGAACTCACTCATGTGAGGATTGTTGGTCTCCAGACCACCTTATGAGTTGCAGGGACTAAGCTGTTCTACAGGCCAGTCATGCCTCTTCCAAGGGGCCGTCTTTCCATATCAGACATGTCAATATCCTTTTACTTTGACCTTGCCTTCTTGGAACACACTGGTAGGTGTTATCTACCTATCTGGCACCTACAAAGGGAAAATAAAAATGTTGAAAAGGTGAGTTGAGTTGTCTGAGCTACTCCGATAACCACAAAATTCTTAGCCAAGTATTTCATCCTAGGAGGGCTTATTCCTGAGTTCTGAGTTGGAGTTATAGAACCTTTGATGGTTATAGGTTTGATTAGGGACTTAAACCATTCAAGCTGCTTAAACTTAAGGAGATAACCTGGCAGAGAAAACAATACTGGGAAGCTTGAGGAAGGATATAATGGATCCAAGGTATTATCTAGGGACCCAATTCCCAGCCAGAACATCTCCTGGACATCATCAGAAAATAATTATATTAGGAAATATCATAGAGTCCTGTGGCATTTATAACTGGATCTAATTTTTAGCAACTTAGGTGCATCAGAACAATACATAGCTAAGCAAATAAATCAGGAAGATAAAAAAGTCCTTTTACTCCCTCTATCCAAAAGATTTACCATCAACATCTACAAATTCTTCTGGGATTCTTAAATGTTGGTTTATTATAAATCATGAAACAGCTTGAACTGATGCTAACTAAAGTTAACAAGGAGAGTGGATGATATAAAGTTTGCATTAGGATATGGTGCCACTGAAACATTTATCATTAGTTAAAAATGAAATAGCTTCTGGTAAAGACTATCAAGGAGGTATACACTGTTTAAAAATTTTTGATTAACTACATTGATCAGGACCAAAAGAAATATGTGTGTATATATAAAATATGTTATATATATATTATATCTACTAAGCTACACATATAATTTTAAGTTATCATATTTTAAAAGTTTTAAGGCTATGAAAGTGCTTTTAATAATAATGCATCTTTCTCTAACCTGATACATAAAAAAGTTTACCATTTAACATGCCACTTTATCAACTTTTCAAGAATTCGGTGTTGTGGAAAATGGCTCATATAGTGAACATCTCAGTTGACAATTAACAAGAGTGTAAACAAGAGAATGTATTTTAATTTCATCTGAGATAGTGACTACCTACAATTTTCACTTAAAATCCTCCAGGAGGGAAAAATAGATTGGTGTTCATCACTGGGCATCTAATGAGGAAATCAGTTATTGGGATACTCGTAGCACTCAAGATGAATTCAACTTTCTCTTTTTTTCTAAGAAAATAGAAGAAAGCAATATAGACATGTGGATTAATTATTCCTGGCACAGAGAAAGGAGTCCAGATGTGATAGAAATAATGACAGTGGTGATGATAAGGGAAATAGTGGTGATTGCACAGTAATGCACCTTTTTTTAGGTTTTTGGTGTGTGTGTGTGTGTGTGTGTGTGTGTGTGTGTGCTAGTGCTGGAGCTTGAATTCAGGGCCTCAACCTCTTGCTGGAGGCTGGTACTCAAACACTTTACCCAGACCTTCACTTCCAGCTCTTTGCTGACTAATTGGAGATGAGTCTTTCAGATTTGTCTGGCTTAACTGGCTTTGAAGCACAATCCCCAGATCTCAACCTCTGGACTATCTAGGTTTAAAGATGTAAGCCCTGGCATTCTAGCCAGAATGTTGTTTTTAGTGAAGTCTTACAGACCATGATGTGTCGGGGGATAATGTCTGTGTAGGCAAGCCTTTGGCTCACAGGTCAAGGCAAGTGACATACTATTGTGGGTGTCATGGAAGGTCATGGTGCTTTGTAGGCAGGCTTTTCCAGGCCAGTCTCCTCTACGAGGTAATTTTGCTTCCAGCAGAATTGAACAGAGGTTTCAATTTGGTGTTCCTAATGAGGAAAGGAATTATTAACAAGAGACAAGGTGCTTTACAATAGCCCAGTGGCTCCCGAGGAAAGGCCATCACATATTAGAGGAAGAAATGATGTCCCAGGATGGATAGAAGACAGGAAGAGGCCTCCGGACTAAGGACAGTTAGAAGTCTGATGTTTTAGTACAGAGAAAGCTGGAGGTGCCCTTGGGGCAAAGGAACAGGCCTCTCTCCCTGAAAGAGGTGAGCTTGCTTTCCCCACTTCCTTAGTGCTGTGGGCCTCCTCTTTCTTTTCTGTGTGTGAGTCAGGCATTGATTTTTCTTGGCTGGTTTAGACACTGATCTGATCCACAGCTCACCAGCTGGGATCAATAATAATGTTTAAGGAGCTACTCTTCCTGAGATGGAGGGATAGCAGTTCCTTAGCATTTGTTTATCCTCTTCAATGGATGTCTTTTTCGAGACTTAGGTTTTAGGGACGGCTGTGAGAAGCATCTTTCTGTTGCTTTTGATCTCGTGTACTCTGTTTTGTATGACAGGCACTCACACACAGATTACGCCACTGTCAATGGTTCATTCTCTTTAGGTACCGGAGGATTGTGTCCAACAACTGCACAGATGGACTAAGGGATAAGTACTCTGCCAAGGCTCAGTTGTGCCCAGGAAAAGCCCCTCGAGGTCTCCATGTGGTGACTACTGATGGGCGGCTGGTGGCAGAGCAAGGGCATAATGCAACCTTCATCATCCTCATGGAGGAGGTGAGTGTCTACCTGGACCTCTGCAGTCAGAACTCACCTATTGGACATTCCCAGACAAGGAGGAAAAGGGTTCCCAGACAGCTGCAACCATTCAAAGAGGAGAAGCAGACTTCTGGAGAAAGTACTGACAGGATAAAAGAGGCTTTAGAGATCTTCCTTCCTCCATCCCACAATAATGACCCAGCCCATCATTGGGGTTCACTTGCCCCCCGTGACCTGGATGTGTGGATGATTTCTGCAGGGCTCCCACTTGGGGCTTGCTTAGGAAATGTTTATATCATAGGACCATGATCTGTAAACTGCCAGAAAAGGGCATTCAAATTACATCTGATGCTTTGAAGAACCTCTATTATTTAATTCCAATCCTTGGCCTCGCTGATTAGAAAACCCCACAAAGCTTTTCAAGGGTCTTGAGAGTGTGAGGATGAGGAGAGGGGAAGATGATTGGAATGCCTGAAACTTATCTTGGTAAGAAACCATGTATTAATTGCTTTTACATCCATAGGTTATTTTCTTACTGTCTTTTGCAACCTGGGCAACACAATCTGGTGTTATTCAGTCATTCCAGGGTGAAATTAGCTCTATTGACAGCTTCTTTTTTCTTTTTTTTTGCTAGTCTGAGGCTTGAACTCAGAACTTGGCCACTGTCCCTTCTTTTGCTCCAGGTTAGCACTCTACCACTTGAGCCACAGTGGCACTTCTGGCCTTTTCTGTTCATGTGGCACTGAGGAATCAAACCCAGGGTTTTATGCATGCTAGGCAAGCACTCTACCACTAAGCCACATCCCTAGCCCCTGTTGACTGTTTCTTGCTCCCTCTCTTCTTTCCATACCAGGAACTTTTCATGTACTCGTTGCTGAGCTGGTGGAGCTGGACAGCTTGCCTGATTGACAATGCCCTCTAAATTTATATGTAAATTACGCTATGCTCTTGAGATCATGGAAAGAGAGACAAGCACTAGGAGGTTTTTCTTACAAGCAGGAGCCCTCAGAGCCTTTAAAGTCAGAAGCACACCAGACAAGACAGGTTCCTTATCCTGAATTGACAGAGTCCTCCACCTTTACCCTACACTCAGGACTCAAATTAAAGGACTTTGAAGATTCAGAGAAGGTCATTATCATATTTCCACAAGGGAGTTTTCATGACCAGATATATAAAAACCTTTTCTTGAATGGCTGTGAAGAGCCATCATCTAATCTATTTGAATGGCCTTGGATTCATTTCCACTTTAATTTATATTTATAAACTTAAGGAGAGTTTATAGTGGATGTGGGGGTCAGGAGAGCATCTTCCTATATTTCTTTTACTTCCAGATAGGGGAAAGGGAGGGAATGTGAAACTGTGATCATAATTACAAAATGCATTTATTTCTTCATTCTATCATCTCTTTTGGTATGACAGAAGTTGATAATCCTGTTCTTCTTTATTCACAGTTTTTGTTTGGGTTTCAAACTCATTGTATTTATTCAAAGTGTTTATCTAATGAGGGAGTGAGGCATGAAAAATGAATTTCAACATTAGCCCTGAAGATGACAACTGTCTCCTTGTGATAGTGTGACAAATGCTCCTGAACTAAACTGTTGATATAATGTTGCCAGGCAGGCAACACCCTAGGATTCTTTCCCTTCCAAGAACCAGCTATATCTGAGATCTAGGACACTCACCTGTAGAATGGAAGTGATCATTCCATTGTTTTGTTTTTTGTTTTGTTTTGATTTTTGTTGGTCATGGGGCCTGAACTCAGGGTCTGGGCACTGTCCCTCTGCTCTTCAGCTCAAGGCTAGCCACAGCACCACTTCCAGATTTTTCTGCTTATGTGATGCTGAGGAATCAAACCCAGGGCCTCATGCATGCAAGGCAAGCGCTCTACCACTGAGCCACCTTCTCAGCCACCCCCCCATTGTTATTTTTAAGATGCCATTATAGCTAGCTAGCTAGATTTGTGTGTGATAATTAGCATAATTCTTATAATGTGATGACAAATACTAAAAAATAAGACCATTAAACTTATATCGTATTAATTGAGAGCTTAGTACTGAAACTAGGCTAGGTTCAAAACTGGTATTTTCTGCTACTAGCTATCTGACTTTGGTCAAGCTACTTTATTTTTTGTTATTGTTGTTGCCATTTTAGAACAATAATATTTCCTACAAGACAGTATTATTAGGAGATTAATTCCTTTGCACCGCATATAAAACTTTGCAAATACTACATTTACTATTATTGCTCTTATTGTGACACAGCATAAACCCTGTTCATGAGGGGATCAGAAAGCCCTTGATCTCCCAGCTCTGAGGTTCAGGTATGCTCTGACTTATCCCACCAACTTAGATGCAGTAAGTACCTGCCCATAGTGCCCTGGGGCATTAGATAGGAGTAAGGTGATTTTCCTGAGGTGTTTCTGTCCCTGGGAAGTATGGCAGGTCCTCAGGGAGTAGTTGTCCCTTTGGAAAGATGCATTGCATAGAAATCAAGCAGGACTATGTGAATGATCCCAGACCATCTGCTCTGTTTCCTTATAGGGTGATCTCCAAAGGACAAACATCCAGCTGGACTTTGGGGATGGGATTGCTGTGTCTTACGCTAACTTCAGCCCCATTGAGGATGGCATCAAGCATGTGTATAAGAGTGCAGGCATCTTCCAGGTGACAGCCTATGCAGAGAACAACCTTGGGTCAGACACCGCAGTCCTCTTCCTGCATGTGGTTTGTAAGTACCATGAGTAGGCCCTTCTCCCTTTGTTCCTAGTGACCAATTCCTACTGGCCAGACTGTGGGAGCCAGAGCTGAGGTCAGATTCAGTGTGGCCACTAACATGGCTCAAACAGAAAGACTGAGTTGTATACTAAGCTGTGATTGAGGTGGACTGAGTAGTCTGAGAGTTTGAATAACAAGACTCTCCTTTTCAGCACCACACATTTCTGCCATACCTTCAGAATAGAATGTACAATTCTCTTCCTTGTGCTTTGGAAAATCTTGAGAATATTTAAGTGGAAACCCATCTGATTGATGGCCAGAGGTTCATTTTCAAGCTATTATGAGTGAAAATTGCACAAATCGAACTAAACTATTATCTCTGTTGGAAAAAAGAAAACAAAGAAGGATTACAGAAATGAAAGTTTAGATCATTTTAAAGAAGAATTGAAGATGTAGAAAACTTAATTCATTCGCCCCAAATTATTTCAGATTTATTATGCTATAAACAAGTCTAAGAAATTTCTGAAATACTTTGGTTATTTCTAGGGATGACTTCCTTGCTATTGGATGTTGCTTTGTAGGGACAAACACATCAACTAAAAGTTCCAACCTACATTTGTTTGTGCCAGGTGAATTTCGTATGTTAGATATTGTGAGACTTGACTCCTAGAAACAAAAAAATGAATATTGTAATTCAGAATGATGGGTCAAGGAAGTGTTGGTAATGTGGCTGGCATTAGTTTTCTTCACCTTTATCAGTGATATTCATATTCACATTCAGATTTTTGTGATTCTTCTTTTAACAACTGTTCTTTATCATCTGTTGGACTCTGTATTCCAACATCTAGTGGATGCCTGGAATCCAAAAGAGCACCAAACCCTAAAATATATACTGTGGCTGGCAGCCTATACATCATGGACACACTCAACAAAATGGTTTGTGCTCTGGGAAGAATAGAGACAGATCATGTGAGATCTCATTGCGAGAGAGTGTTGTGCAATTTAAACTTATGGAGTGTTTATTCCTGGAGTTTTCCATTTAATCACTTCAGTCTGTACTTTACTGTGGGTAACTGAAATGGCAGAAAGTAAAAATGTGGATAAGCAGGGCCTACTATATTCTCCACAATGGTTTTCCAATAAGCTGTCACAAATGGTGAAAATGACAGGTTTTAAAAGCTAAACTACAGGGAGGTTTGGGGATTTTTCGGTGGTGGAGCTTGAACTTGGGGTTGGGGCACTGTCCCTGAGCTCTTTTGCTCAGGGCTAGCACTCTAGTACTTTGAGCCACTGTACCACTTCTAGTATTTTGGTGGTTAACTGAAGACAAAAAAAAAAATCTCACCGACTTTCCTGACCAGGCTGGCTTCGAACCGTGATCCTCAGATCTCAGCTTCCTGGGTATCTAGGATTATAGGTGTGACCCACTGGTGCTCAGCCTATAGGGAATTCTTTATCTATTGCTAACTCAGTGATAGCCTAAGGACTGCCTTGTAAATAATCAACATTTAAGAGGTTCCCTTGTAGAGAGTAAACTACTTAGTTTCCTATTACAGAAACCAACAAGGATAGATGATAGTAAAATGTATGAAAGGAAACCTACATGGTAGATCAAGTATGCCTCTAAAAATGCCAGTCTATATAACCTTGAGATAAATTATCTTTCTTGAGTTTGCTAAACTCTAACATTAAATGACTTAATTCTGAATACGACTTGGTTTCTGAGGGTTCTTGTAACAGCAAAAAAATAAAAATACTACTAAAACACCTAATCATTTATTAATTTAATCAGCAAGCATTTATGGAGTTTTTAATATGTGCAAGATTCTCTGTTAGGCACTGAAGATTCAGCAGTAATATATAGTCTTATCCTTGAAGGATTTACATTCTGTTAGAAAGGGGGAGGTCTGCAAGTGAGCCACAGGTAGACAAAATGATGATTATCTTTACATGTCAGTTACAATCGTTTTTCCTCTGGAAACACCAAACCAGGAGCCTGGGGCATGGGGAAGGGGAGGAAATAGTATGGCAAGTATTCATGAAACCAGGTTCAAGAGCAAGGGAGACCTGTGTTTATATTCTGATTATATGCCTTTGTTTATTGTTTAATACTAGTTAATTTTCACAGCCTTTAGAAACCTCATCTTTTAGCACAAGCTTATAAGGTGGCTGTGGGAATGGTTAGATGCTTCACTGATTCAGAATTCAGCTCATAGCCATGTTGTTTAATACTAGTTAATTTTCACAGCCTTTAGAAACCTCATCTTTTAGCACAAGCTTATAAGGTGGCTGTGGGAATGGTTAGATGCTTCACTGGAAGGATTCAGAATTCAGCTCATAGCCATGGTTTATCCCCACAAGGTATACAAAGTCAAGTCAGCAAAAGAGGGGTGGGGGAACACAAGGGGCAAAGCCCAGCAAAAACTAGGTGCAGCCTTCTTCAGATTCTTTCCCCATGGCATCATGTGGGATTTATCTACTCTTCCAGCAATGACTGTTGATAACCTAAGAGTTGGCTACCACAGAAACTTAGTAGAGAGTCTCTTTTATTTGGGGCTGGTCAGGTACTGTCTTGCCTGGAATAGACCCAAACTCCAAACTTCCAGCAAGCAAGTATTCAGAATAAGCTATGCTGTTGGCAAGAACAGGTAGACAACATGACTTAACTCTTGCTAGTTAACTCGTAACCAAGGGTGCGCTCAGAACTGAGCCCCCAGACCTCAGCTGAGAGCCGGCTCTTCATGCAGACATTTTTCAAAAGATGACAATTTCAGGCCTAAGTTAACAATTTTCTGCACAGAGCACTGATGGCTGCTTCACACCCAGCCAGGGATGTGCCGAATGTTACCCGTTATTATCATAATTACTAATATTTCCTGATAGCTTTCTGCTCAACACTTCTGCTGGAATTAAAAATGAATACAAAGAAAGAAAAAAAAGGACATTACATATTTCTTTCCTCTAAGAACAAGAACTTGTACCACTCTTGCTTTTGATTTTGCCAAGATTTGGCTTTGTGTGCAGGTGTGAAGTTCAAAGTATCTTAGTGCAACAACAACAACAACAGCAAACTCCAAACCCAAAAACAAAAAACCAGCAAGGAACAGGTTTATCCTGTGGGTTATGTGCACAAAGGAGGAAATGTTCCTTGAAACTTTTATCGTGCTCGTAATTCCCTCCAAATCAATCATGACCACATTTACCAGACAGTTATGATCGTGGAAACTGCTCTTGGCCTCACCTTGGGCCATTAGCTAACAAAAGTAGTTGTTAGCTGCCCATAAGAACCAATCTCGCACAGATTATTAGATTTTCATCAAAATGGGCACTTTGACAGGGAAGACTAGGGGTTTGTAGCATTCTCTCCTGAACCTCTCCAGCTCTCTTCCTGCTGCTCTGTGGTCTCCTCCTGGAAGTCTGGATCAGGCTTAGGATCTTGGCCTTTAAAAGCTGTTTTAAAACAGATATGGTTTCTTAGGATTATGTCTAACCAAACATTGACCTGAAGCAGGAATTAATATAACCATGTTGACTACTCATGAAGTCCTATTCTTTTTATATCTGGCAAGAATTTAGAGAGAATAAACAGAGTCTTTTCTTTTTCCTATCTTCCTTGTGCCTTGAGCCTCAGTTTTACAGTATTGTCATCCATGACCCATGAAGGCCCCCGAGTGATAGCTAAGAAGAATTTCTAGGGCCACAAGCCATGGTTTAGTACGACGATACTAAAGTTTAAAGATAAACTTTAGAGATAAAGTTTAAAGATACTAAAGACCAGTGTGACTAGGGAAGCAACTTTATTCCTTTGGAGGGAATATTAGTGAGAACAGAAGCAATGACTTCTGGGAAACCAGACCCCAGAAGAAGAGCTGGAGGGAAAGAGTAGGGGGGTGTGAACTCAGCCTGGAGACAGGTGCTGGAGAATTCATATGGGAAACCAGACTTCTCATATCCTTCTTGGAGCATGGAGGATCCTCTCCCTCCCTCTGGCACCCCCCCCCAACACACTTCCCACAAGATCCAGTCTTCCTCCTTGGTCAGCAAAATGCAAATAATGGAGAAGTATTAGTCAGATAAATTATTAAAATGAAAGCATTGGAAGTAGCCAATATTTTTTCACACCTTATCTTCTTTTACTGGCTTCCAGAACACCCTACAAAAATAACACAAATTTGCTCATTTAAAATAATTACACCTTCAGCCAAATGTGTATACTAAGTAACAAGGTTGAAATTATTTGCTGGAAAGCATCTTAAGGTGCCATCTGTCTGTAGTCATGTCAGAGGACTGTAGGTAGCAAGCATTTTCTGGCTATGGATTACAGAGATTTGTTACATTTTTTTTCTTTCCTTCAGCTTTTCTAATTTAGAAAAATTACATACATTTATTATATACAACACGGTGTTATGAAATATATATGTACAAGGGAATAGTTTGTTGGGGATAATGAGCAGGCATTAACCTCTCATTCTTATTTTTTGTGGTGAGAATAGTTAAAATCTATTCACCTTAATACTCAAAATGCAATCAAGTGATCATAACTACCATGATAACTGTATCCATTAAATTTGTTCTTCCTATTTTACTGAAGTTTCATAGGAGCATTTAATCCATCCTACCTCTGTCATCCTCTGGGAATCACCATGCTACTTCATGCTTTTGTGAGTCGAACATCCTTAGATTCCACATGTGAATGACATGGTGTGGTTTTCCTCATTCTGTGTCTGGTTTATTCACTTAACATGATGTTCTCCAGATTCAGCAACGTTGACTCAAATCACTGGAGGAAAAGAACCCAAGAGTTGGAAAAATAAAACAAAACATCTGCCTCCCCAATACAAAACTGACATACTCATGACATTTTAAATTTTAACGCATTAATGTACAAAGGGCTTACAGTTATTTAAGTCAGATACAGAGTACATTTTGTTCTGAAGAATGTCACCCCTTCCCTTGCTCTCTCCTATTTTTTCCCTTCCATTCCCAACCATAAATTATACAGTTCATTTTCAATATAGTGTCTGTTGCATTTGTTCATTCTAGCACTTCTTTTTTTCTTCTTCTTTTTTCTTTTTTATGTTTTTTTATTTTGAAAATACTGTACAAAGGGGTTACAGTTATATGAGCAAGGTAATGAGTACATTTCTTATCAAGCATTGTTGCCTCCTCCTTTGTTTCTCCCCACCATCCTTTCCCTCCCACCTCCTCAACTATACTCCCCCCACCTAATTTGTAAAGTTCATTGTTCAACAGTGTCTTGTACATCTCATTATTACAATGGGTCTACCTGTATCCCTATTTAAACATTTTGTTTTTTCCCTACTCCTCCCCAAGTTATGCCGACATCAAATACAGTGAATACAGTGAAAACAGGGGTTATACTGTGGGGGAGGAACATATAAAGCAACAAAAAAATCATATAGTACCTTATAAATACTCTAGAAACAATAGCAAGAAAGGAAAAAGACCACTGTGTCTCTATCTTGGGGTTAATTTCGCTTAACATCATCTTATCTGGTCATATGTACATAGCTTTTGACCTTTATGCTTGTCCCAGACATATGCTAGTTTTTGCATAGGGAAACCATAGGACCTTTGTTTCTTTGGGCCTGGCTTACTTCACTTGATATAATTTTTTCCAAGTTTTTCCATTTTCTAACAAATGGGGCAATGTCATTCTTTCTGATTATCTTTTTCATTTTAGTCAACCAATGAAACTAAAACCTTACTTCTTTTGCCTGGGGTATGTTTGTGGGTTACTCTCTTAATTGCTAGTATAAATCTTACAATTTTCTGGGAGAAAGAGAGGAAGAACTTTTAGTACTTTGCAACTTGGCGTTTGGAGCCAGTCTTTTCCCTCTTTGCATATTGACTTTTCCAGCATCTGAATGATGTTAAGATACAATGGCGAATTATGGAAGAGGATGGAAGCCAATTAATCACCTAGGCTAGGGGAAAAATCTTTCAAACAGTACTTTGAACCCAAATCCCCAAACAGGCCTAATCATCAAATAGCAAACAGACTGTTGTTTCTCTTTTTATTCTGGACTAAGTGTTCAGCTTTGTCCTTGGATTGCAATAAACAACAAACATTCTTGGTAAGATGATTTCTCCTTATGTAAATTAAGCTTGGATTTCACTCAAGAAAGCCAAACCTGCTTTGAATTCCCTCCTGTATAGTGGACCTTCTTTTCCAGGACATACTTCCTAGCCTTTGTGAGTTTGTGGTCATTGTGGTCATTCTTTCAGGGACAACCATTGAGATTAAGATGAAAATTCTAGAGTGTGATATAGTTTGCTAGCTTGTTCTGAGACTGCATACACTGATTGGTTTGTCTGTTTTTTCTTATTCCTTTAGGTCCTGTGGAGCACGTCCACCTCCGAGTCCCATTTGTTGCCATAAGAAATAAGGAAGTCAATATCAGTGCGGTCGTGTGGCCTAGTCAGCTGGGGACCCTTACGTACTTCTGGTGGTTCGGCAATAGCACAAAGGTTTGGCCATTTCAGATCAGTATCAACTTTGAGCTACACTGAAACCTCTGGTGCTGCAGCTTGCCAAGTTAGCGTCAGGGGCACTGTGAATGTGGCAGTGCTTAGTGACATTAAGAACTCAGGAGCTGAATAGAAGACACCCTCCCCCACTGAGTCCATTACTTTAACCGGGGACATCTGAGTAATGCTAAGGAAGGAAAAGTACTTTGAGACACTCTAGAAACCTCCTCTAATCAACACTTTGTTTTAATCCTGGCTTTGCCATTTCCTAGTCATGTAATAGCAAGGAAGTTACTTGGCATCTTGAGATTCAAGGATCCGGATTGTCAAATGTGAACTAGACATCTTAATGTAGGTTAGAGGAATTAAATGCTGCAACACATTTAAAGAATCCTCACCATTAGCTACCCTGTGCTGTATAAAACCTAGAGTTTGTAGGCAAGGTAGTGCTCTTGTTCTCTCTTAAAATAAGAAATGGAACGGATCAAACACTGAATTTTCTACCTAGCCCTTGTCCTAAGTACCTGGTGATGGAAATGCCTATTTCAAAAGTGACAGTAATTCTATGATAAAAACTGGGAACAAGATTCCTCAATTAAAGTAATGCTCTTTATTTCCTTCCTTCCCTCCTCCCTCCCTCCCTCCCTCCCTCCTTCCTTCCTTCCTTCCTTCCTTCCTTCCTTCCTTCCTTCCTTCCTTCCTTCCTTCCTTCCTTCCTTCCTTCCTTCCTTCCTTCCTTCCTTCCTTCCTTCCTATCTCCTTCCCTCCCTCTCTTTTTTTTCTTTCCCAGTTTTAGAGTTTCTGCTCAGGGTTTCCTGCTTGCTTGCCTTGCTCTGCTTGCTTGCCAGTTGGTGCTCTATCCCTTGAGACATACCTACATATCTGAAGCCCTGATTTTTGCTGGTTATTTTCGAGATGGAGTCTCAAGTACTTTTCTGTTCAAGCTGGCTTCAAACTGAGATCCTATAAGTTTCAACATCCTGAGTAGCTAGGATTATAGATATTAGCCATTATTGCCTGGCTTCATTTCATCTTGTTGGTGAACCATATTCCACTATTTAGATCTTCCACAGTCTATTACTGAATACATCTTGGTCTTTTCCAACTTTTGACAATTACAAATAAAGCTGCTATAAACATCTACGTTCAAGTTGTCATGTAGAGATGATTTCAACTCCTTTGAATGAATTACAAAGTATGATTATTGGATCATGTCATAACAGCATATAAAGCCATCTTCCAAAGTGGTTGCTCCCTTCTGCATTCCCACTAGCAATGAGAATTCTTGTTTTTCTACATTCCCCAATTCCATTTTGATGTGTCATGTTCCAGATTTCAGCCATTCTAAAAGGGTTTAAGTTTGAATTTCTCTAATGTTTCACTATAAGGAAAATATGTCTCTTATATATTATGTTTAGTGAGTTTTTTGTTGAGCTCTCTTGCTCATTAAAAAATAGTTTGTTCTAGTTTTTGCTGTGGAGTTTTTAATAGTTCTTTGTATATTTCAGATAGTAATCCTGACATGTCTTTTGCAAATATTTTCATGCAGTCAGAGGTTTGTCTCTTCATTTTCTAAACATTATTTTTTCAGACCAAAAAAATATAATTTGAATGAAGTCCAATTGTTTGTTTCATGGTTTGTGCTTTGAGTGTTCGACCTGAAAGCTTATTGTCATTGACAGGACCGTACGGATTTTTTCTTGTGGTTTCCTCTAGCATTTAGAAGTTCTGGGCTTGGGCTGGGAAGGTGGCTCAGTGGTAGAGCTCTTGCCTTGCATGCATGAGGCCCTGGGTTCCATTCCTCAGCACCACATAAGCAAAAAGAAAAAAACCAGAAGTGGCACTGTGGCTCAAGTGGTAGAGCACTAGCGTTGAGCTGAAGAGCTGAGGGACAGTGCCCAGGCCCAGAGTTCAGGCCCCACGACCCAACCCTCCCCTCCCAAAAAAAAGAAGTTCTGGGCTTTACATATAGGTTTGTAATTCAATTTTAGTTTACTTTTGATGTATGTAAGGTGTATGATTAGATTCATTTTCTTTGGCAGGTGCATATCCAGACATTCCAGCAACATTTGCTCTTTTGTCAGAGAGCACATGGAAATATGTTTTTCTCTTCTATTAATCTATTTCTCTTTCCTGTCTTTAATATCACACTACTTTGATTATGACAGATTTATTATATGTCCCCGAGTAAGGTACACATATTCATTTAGCCTTTTACACTTTCAATACTGAGTTGTATATTCTAGGTATTTTATTTTCTTTTCCATATAAACTTAGAATATAATTTCATTTATATATCCTAAGTAAGTTACTTGGGGTTGTATCGGATCTATAGATGAAGTAGACAAGATCTAACATGTTGACGATAGTTTATCTTCCTATTCATGAACATGGATATCTCTCTATTTGTTTAGTTATTCTTTGATTTTATTCACCATATCTATAATTTTGCTTCTATAAAACACACATATATTTTATTAGATTTTATATCTAAGTAGTACATGCTTTATGGCCCATTATGTGGTTTACTCTGAGTGATGTACTTTGTGGACAAGAAACCAATATACATTCTGCTATTTTTGATAAGTTTATCTATTAATTACATAAGACTGCTTGATTGAATTGTTGAGTTCAGCTTGTCCTTATTGATTTTTTCTCCTTCCTTAGTATATCACTTGAACTGTTTTTAAAGTTTCATTTGTATCTCCCTAGTATTCCACTACACACTTAAATTAATGAGAGCCTATTTTAAATACCACTATGTGGCTCCTTGGATGGTATGAGTACTTAATAATAACATTACAAGCAGGAGCCACTGGTACTATCTGGGGTTGTTTTAAAATTACCTGTTGACATTACACTTTTAGGGTCTTAAAAAATAACAACTAAAGATACTCCTTTGCCTAAGAATTTCTTGTCTGCAAGATTGAGTATCAAATGCTAGACAAATACATAAATTCCATATATCTTATCTGTTGGATTTTGTTCCCAAAAAAATCAAGAGAAGGTGATAATGTGTGAAAAAATGGATTGTTTCATCTGGTGCCGTTCCTCAGACTTGAATTCAGGGCCTGAGTGCTGAATTCCTTGAAATTTTCTGCTCAAGGCTAGCATTTTACCACAGGAGCCACTGCTTTGTTTCTAGGTTTTTGCTGGTAATTGGAAAAAAGAGACTCATGGACTTTCTGGCCAGGATTGGCTGGGAGCCATGATCTTCAGATCTCAGCTTCCTGAACAGTTAGGATTATAGCATGAGCCACTGGTGCCTAGTGATTTACAAAGTGGATTTTTAGATTAAGAGAAGCATAGATTCTAGTCCAGGCAGATTTTTCTGTGCTCTATGCCTTTAACAGAGCCATTTGATTTCTTTGAGAGTTAGTTTTATTAATAAGATTATCTGAGGAACAGTGGTAATAAGTATAATTGATTATTGTTATAATGATTATGTTAAGATGTTACCAGTCACTTAGAAGGTATCTAAACATTTGGAAATATTAGACTGTTATACTAATCATTTGCACTAATACAGTGAACATCTAGGTGATAAATGTAACATTGTTCTAGAGATTACATTCCTGTCTAAAATAAATAATTGGTTGTTCCATTTGAAAAGGGATACTTTATCAGTGCATTTTACTAGTACCATGCTTGAAACACATCACGGGTGGTCACGGGTACAATACTTGATCCAATAAGCATCGTCGTCGTCAAATGGCAAAAACAAAATGAATATGTTGGGTTCATCATGAATGGTTGATGCTGTGATGTAAGACCTGTTAAGTTCCTGTTCACTAACATGCTGCTCTGTGAAAGGGTTTATTATTATTATCAAGTTTGAGGGTTTATTTTTAGAATTTGCTTTATATACATTATTTTATTTAATCACCAGAACATCACTGACCATAGAGAAATTATCCCATTTTAAAGGGAATGCATTTGGGTTAGTATCCTTGGAGGGTAATGTTGTGGTGTGTGTGTGTGTGTGTGTGTGTGTGTGTGTGTGTGTGTGTGTGTGTGTGAGTGGGTGTGGGTACATGCATATGCGTGTGTGTGCACTTAATGGTGGGAGAGAGAGATGATCAATTCACTCAGGTAGTTAAATTAAATCACCCTTTATGTTTGTTGATTTAAAGGAGAGAACTGACCCCTTCACACACAGTTTAAAACCGACTCTTATCTCGATGGTATTAACATAGAAGTATATTATCCCTATCTTCAAAAAGATAGCACTCCAGGTGAGAAGCCAAAGTGAGCACACATGCAGCAATCGCTGAGCAAGTATGATATATAAGTAAATAGAAAAGAGCAAGCATGCCTTATCCAGCTGCTGTTGGCTTTCAAACCTACAGACTCTCAGTGGGGTGTGTGAAATTGCATCAGGCCCACCGTGGATCCTTTTCAGGAGTCATATTTTGTACTCAATGTTGTGGGGAATACCAAGCAGTGTAAATTCCATTTGTTGCCTTCAAGAAACATAATCTATTTGATCACACGAGGTTAACATCTAAGAAAGACACAAGAAAGGAAGGCAGTTGGAATGAACTAATACTGGCCATTTCAAACAGCCTAGGGAGAAATGGATGCAGGCTCCATGGGTTACAGAGTGAGTCATGTTTGAAATTGGTCTTAAGCTGGCACTGAAGGAGCAGTGAACTTGAGGCCGAGTGGAGAGAAAGGGATCTGGAGCTTTGGAAATGGTTGTGTGTTGTGTGGACTAATCAAGCCAAAACAGAAGACTCATTTCAATAGAGGGTGGAAGAAAGAAATGAAAGATGGGAGGTTAGATTATACTGTTGATTTTGTTGTTGAATTTCAAATTTGAATCCTGGATGCTCTAAGAAATAACAAGATCAGCCTGAGGCTCTCCCTGGGGAAAATAATCAAGATCATTTATTTTTCTAACAACTAAAGCAAAAAAGACAAAGGACATAGTTCAAGTGGCAGAGCACTTGCTTAACAAGCACAAAGCTCTGAGACCAGAGCCTAGTAATAAATATGTACTACATTAAAAAAAAAAAAGCAGAGTTAGGATCCTAAATCAGAGTTAGGGTAGTAGGTTAAAAGATAAAATCAGACTCATGGATAGTTCAATGCTTTGAAGGTTTTTTTGTATATTTTAGTGTGTGTGTGTGTGTGTGTGTGTGTGTGTGTGTGTGTTGTGTGTGTTTGAGATAAAAGATTTCTTACCTATGAATTTTTACATTAAAACCATAATCATAACTCAGCTATGAATGCTATTTATCTTTCTTGTTTTTTGTGTGTGGTTAAGTCATTTTGACAGTGTTCTAAGCATGATACATCCACAATTTTATATCTATATCTATGTATAGATATAAATATAGATATTCTGCCTTTTCTACTTCATATGATGAGCACTTATAGCATATTATTGTATGATCTACTGGTGTTCTCAAGGTGGACAAGTATAATGGTGGAATAGTCTGTCCAATTTGGGAACAGCATCTTTCACTACACTATGGAGATTGTATAATGTGCAGCATGCTTGCAACTTACCCTGTGTGGAAAACTAGCATGGTTTGTATGAAAAGAGTCTCCTGCAGCTCCCTGTTCCCTTTGTCAAGTGGAAGTCTCATAACAAAGCTCAGAGCTTTGCTGGTTTACTGCTGGGCTCAGTTGGAAAATATCTGACCTTTCTCACATGAAGGCTTCTTCATGGGAAGGGAAGTAACCCAGCACCTAAGCAATGCCTGAGGTATTATTCCAAGGGCTGCAGTTGGCACAAAGCAGAGGCAGAGAAGTCAAATGGCTGCTGGCTGAATGTGTGGGACTCTGAATGGCCAATTTGCTGGGATTAACAGAGGTCTGGCTTAATAAATGTGTCTGCTTGCCTAATAGATTTGAGTAAATGAACCTTAAAATACTTGATTTAATTTAGCACTGGGTACCAGATAGTAGCAGCCAATGAAGAACTCGAGGCTTCTGTTGAGGGTTCCAGCTTTGCAGGGAAGGTGAAATCAGCCATGATGCCATAACTGCTATGATAAACAAAAGCAATTTGGAAAACAAAATTAGCTTCTGTCATTTCCCTAACGTGGATGTCTGTGGCTCATCACCCAGAGACCAACCATTTCCATTTGGTGAGATTTGTTTGCTGTGGCTCTGTGCCCTGACTAGCTGGAAGAATAGTGTACACTCTCCCATCTCAGATGGCATTTTTCTTGTCCTGCAGCTCTTCACCCTCACTTGGACCTAAACTCCTAGGGAAGCAGCCAGATAGGGTCTGCTGGGACTGGAAATTTATACCTCTCAGGAGAGCTACAGAGGTCAGAACAGTACATCCACCTGAGGGCTGATTTAAGATGACTATCCTGAAAGGAGGGGATGACCAAGATCTGAGGGAAAAGACAAGAAAGCAATGGAAGTTTCTGGAAGAGAGAGCTAGTAAGAGGGGAGAAGGTCTGGCGGTGAGAGGTAAGGTAGGATGCAGGAAAGCTAAAGGTAGCAAACTAGAACAAAAGGGTAATGTCATAGCAGAGGGAGTCACTCAAGCAGTTGTGAAGAATAAAAGCATACTTAGTATGCATTTTATACATTTTTCTCCTAGAATATTATTATGAAAATTTGCAGACATATATTAAAATGTGAAGAATATTTTTTCAATGAACATACATTTACTTTGCTGGTTCTATCATGTCTCTGTCTATCCATCCATCAATCTGTTTTTTTTGGTTGTTTTGATTCAATTCAAAGTATATTTAAGAAACCTGTATACCTTACTCTAAAGGATTCAGCATGCAAATCTAATAATTGTTCATACAGTCTTGACACTGTTTGTCTCTGGGGATATAAAATGTATCTGTGATGAAATGCATAAATCTGCAGTGTACAGTTACTGAGTTGGACAGAGGCATTCACCTATACAAAGCAAACTCCTATCACAATATATCATATTACTGTCATGCCAGAAAGTTTCCACTTACTGCTCTTTTTCAGTTTCTACCCTTGACTGTTTCTCCACTTTATAAATTATATCATAGATTAGATTTGCTTCTCTAGAACCTCATACAAGTATAACCATACACTATACATTTTCTAATTTTACCACTCATTGTTTGAAGATTCATGTATATTATATATACGTATCATACATATTTATATATATATACACACATATATGTAATACATACAATAAATATGCTACATATGTCAATGTATATGCTAATATTTGTTCTTTTTTATTTATTATTTGAAGATAAGATATTATTTGAAGATATTTTCCTATTGATAAATTCCTTTGCTGTTTACAGCTTTTTCCAAACACCCAAACATTTCATTTCTGTGTGTGTGTGTGTGTGTGTGTGTGTGTGTGTGTGTGCGCGCAGCGCGCACACGTGCTTGTATGTGTGTGTGTCTGTCGACATGTCTGTCTGTCCTCTAGAGCTTGAACACAGGGGTCTGGGTGTTGACCCTAAGCTTTTTTGCTCAAGATTAGTACTCTACCACTTGATCCACAGTTCTACTTCTGGCTTTTCCATCGTTAATTAGAGATAAGACTCTCTCAGACTTTCCTGACCAGGATGGCTTCAAACCATGACTCTAAGATCTCAGCCTCCTAAGTAGCTAGGATTATAGACATAGGTACCCTGCTCGAATATTTATTTTATTATTCACGAACATGTGTTTCTCTTGATTAAATACCCAGGATGGTAATGGCTAAATCATAAACTACATGATGGTGTGAACCTTTTGGAAAAGGCTTTTATACTATACTTTTGCTTAAATGTCGGCAGTGTTTTTCATTCCCACCCACATTGTATGACAGTTCTAATTTTCTCAGCATCTCCAACATAGTTTGGGATTCATATAAAAGGCATTCTTAGCCATTCTGCTAGATTATTTTAGTTATTTAGTTTGAAAGAGCGTAACAAAGTTAATGAAGCATCTAAAAGCCTTCAGACACATGATATTTAATAGGTTGACCTGTAGGAACCTGGAAATAATGCTTAAAGCCATTTGCTAACGCCTTCGATCTAACAGCTCAATGAGTCCTCACAGATTTTTAAATCCCAAACTTTCATTTAGATGAAGGAGAAGAAGAAAGCCCCAAATGGGGACAGAGTCTGCCAGAGGTCATTTATTAAAATAGTAACAGAGAAGGAGTCTGTAGCCATTGTTCTGGTCACACGAGAAAGGGTACAAGTCTTTGTGTTTATGTGATTCTCTCATTTCATGGCCTTGGCTAACACTGCTGTGCTGAGCCCAACTTGATTTGAACGTCTTTTTCAAAATAGGCCTCTGAACTGCATAGCATCATTATGACACAGACGCCAGACTCATTTGCCTCCCCTTCTTAAGTCAGAGGAACGTAACTTTTGTGTACTCTCACTGAGCCGTAAGAACGGGGAAGCATATGGGCTCTCTGGAGTTTGCTATTAGTTGGAGGAAACAGCGTATCTCTTGATTTATTTCCTTCTTGTTTTCTTTAACAAACTGAGAAGGACCAGGTGTCTGAAGCTTAGGGCATATCTCTTCAGTTGCCCAACTCCAATCATCCGCTTGGTCATAAAACAGAGCTGTAAGATTTTAAAACAAAAACAAAAGTGAATTATTGTTTCAGAGGTCCAGCCTAAAATTGTGAGCTAGAAAGACATTTCAGTCTTACAGAGGGAAAGCTTCTTGCAAGTTGGATCTCTGAACCTCTGTGTGTGTATACATAGGCATGCTGTGTGAGGCCTAACCAAGGTTCATTCCCCCAAAGAACAGCTCTATGCTCCTCCCACTTCTATGCTCTTCTCTATGCTGTGGTTCTCTCAACTTTTTATCATTTGCCTTAGATCAATTTCCTAGCATTATTTCCTTTTTTAATATATATTTTTATTATAAAGATACTGTACAGAGGGCTTAGTTTCATGAGTAAGGTAATGAGTACATTTCCTATTGAGCATTGTTACCCCCTCCTTTGTTTTTCCCCTACCATCCTTTCCCTCCCTTATTCCTCCCTCTCCCTACCCCCCAAAAAAAATTGTAAAGTTCATTTTCAACATAGTGTCTTATACATCTCAGATACAGGTTGACCCATTCTAGCATTATTTCTTAACTCCCAAACATTAGGGGATTTTAAAGGCCCTGGACTGTAAGAGGACTCTAAATAATGACTCTTCAATCTCAAGGTCTGACTACTCTCTTCTTTCCAATAATCACTAGCTTTGACCAAGACCCCAATTCCCAAGAGAAACTTGGATAATTTGTTCCTTTGTCCTTGAAAAATCCCAATTTATTATGGTAAATCAGGGGGGAATAAAAAAAAAGAAGATTTATAACATGACCATAGATATGTATGCTTGTGTATTTCCCAATCTAATAAAAATGGTAAAAATGCTTTGAGATGGAAAACATGTCTAATAAGATAAAAAGTAAACAGAATGACAGTGAATCCTATATATATATATATTCCATTATATGAAAGACAACAACCTAAAATAGTGATACAGAAGAATATGATACAGGGACACTCTAAGACTTTCTCTGAATGGAAAACAGGATGAAAATCTAAATGACATGGGATATCAGGGGAAAAGACAAATGGTCTCCTATGCTCATAGCCCCAACAGGGACATGTGTCAGACCCTACTTCTCCTTTGTCCCAGATGGAAGAATAGAACTATAGGAAAAAAATCTAGACTGTCCAGTCTTACCATTTCCCAGTATTTAGCGCTGTGTTTGAAATGTATTGATTTAACGTGTATTAATCCTTCAAAGCGAGACTCCACTCTTGAGCCACTCTATTCATCCTCAAGTTTTATCAATTCTTACATTGCCTTATCCTCTTCCTCCATGTTGGGGAAATGATCGTGTTCCTTTAGTAAGCTTTCCAAAGTTTTTGTGTTTTATCTTTCTTTTTGAGGTGGGATCCCTGGGGGTCTAAGCTATGCAGAGTGACCACCTGGTGAGAGGAGCAGGAGAGCAAGGAGCTGGGATGCCTACTGAGGACTAAACGGGTGTTGCTGTTGTCCTTCTTGCAGCCCCTTATCACCTTGGACAGCAGCATCTCCTTCACCTTCCTCACAGAGGGAACCAACACCATCACTGTGCAGGTGGCTGCGGGGAATGCCCTTATCCAGGACACAAAAGATATCGCTGTTCATGGTAAGCCCTGAAAATTGTCCACTGTTGCCCCCTCCTCACCTCCACAGCCAGCCCCTTCCACTCACCCTCGTGGCAACTAGACTGTGAAAAGATAACAGAGCTCCACAGTGGCATTCTACCTTGCTCCTGGATAAAGGATCCATATTATAAAAGGAATCTATCACAGAGTTACATTCTTTCCCCTGGGGTGTGTCTGCATCACCATCTGTGGCGATTCACATTTTTGAGATGTGTATTAGACGGTGATCTGATAAGGACATCATAAATGCTAGATCCAGCATCCTGCAGACGCATCTACAATGTGAGCTCAGCCTCTACTTTGTGAGATGGAAATGAGTGGTTCCCAAGGTGGGAGGAGTCATGGTTCCTGCCTTTGAAGGTTAACACTTTAGAGAAAAGCAAGAGGAAGTGATAACAGAGCTCCTATCTGTTCACTATCTGAGTAACCATTCTTCATTACTAAGTTATTTTAAGTAAAATTAATGACTCTTCTTCTGCCAGTTGACCAATGTCTATGACCAATATCTAGACCTAAACCTAGACATAGGTTTCTAGTCATAGACATAATCACTGTGGTTTTCTAGGAAGTGTTCTAATGCAGGTGAGACTTTGACCCAACTCATATTTTTCTGTTTCACACAGGTAATTTTTTCCCTATCTTTCTGTCAACTTGGCACTCAGGTTCTTTATTAGTCAATTGGTATTGTACTTTTAGGTAAAGTCTTATTGATGTATAAATTTGATTCTGAAAATTGTCCAAATTCTATTGGCATCATGCATTACCAACAAGTACATAAACCTGTGTCCTCACCAACCAGGTCAACAGTGGAGCACCATCTTACAATCAACCTAGTACCTACTTTCTATGCCACTGAGGCAGTTTTTAAAATAACACAGGAACTTAAGAAAGAAGTGGAAAAAAATGTTCAACCCAACCATTTGGAGTGGTTCTGCAGGACACTACCTGCACATATTTCCCTCGAGTTTCCTGGTTATGTTTCTTTCCAGATAGTATCATTTTTTCTTTTACAGGAAAAAGGCTTTTTTTATTTTTTGCCAGTCTTGGGCTTGAACTCAGGGCTTGGGCACTGTCCCTGAGCTTCTTTTGCTCACTACCACTTGAGCCACAGCACCACTCCCAGCCTTGTCTGTTTATGTGATACTGAGGAATTGAACCCAGGGCTTCATGCATGCTAGGCAAGCACTCTACCATTTAGCCACATTCTCAGACTAGGAAAAAGGCTTAAAATCCAAAATTACTGAGGACACTCAAAGGAGCACACATTAACTTCCAATCAGAACCTTCCACTTTTTTTCAGAATTCACAAAGTAGGCTGAAAGTAAGGAATTCCCTCTCCGACCTTCTGAGAAGAGACTTGTGAGGCTTGCTGGTAGGCCCCATGCACTGTCTCACTGCACTCTGTTGGCCTCATTCCCACGTTCTGTCTCCCTGCAGAATACTTCCAGTCTCAGCTCTTGTCCTTCTCTCCTAATCTGGATTACCACAATCCTGACATTCCTGAATGGAGGCAGGACATTGGCACCGTCATCAAGCGAGCTCTGGTTAAAGTAGGTTGGGTTTATCATTGTGTGTCTTTCAGATAAACAAATCTAGATTGTGTGGGTAAGAACACATTTGCATGGATTAAAGCACTTATCTAGGTTATTTCTGAAGAAAAAGCAAGGAAGGGGGGAAGAAAGGAAGGAAAGAAGGAAGGAAGGAAGGAAGGAAGGGAGGGAGGGAGGGAGGGAGGGAGGGAAGGAAGGAAGCTCTAGATGCCTGTGGCTCAGACTTGTAATCCTAGCTACTCAGGAGGTTGAGATCTGAGGATCACAGTTCGTATCCAGTCTGGCAGAAAAGTCAGTGATACTTTTATCTCCAATAAACTAGCTAGAAAAAAAAAGGCAGAAGTGACACGGCAGCTCAAGTGGTAGAATGCTAGTCTTGAGCATGCCCAGGCCCTGAGTTCAAACCCCAGGACTACCAAAGAAAAAAAAAAAGAAACAAAAAACAAAGGAAAAATGGAGAGAGAGAAGAAAGGAGAAGAACAACAAGGAGAGGGAAGGAAGGGGTAAAAGAGTCCATCCAGTCCAGTGTTTGAAGATGGAAATCATCCCATTGTTTATCTTACATATTTCAGAGACAAAGGCTTGACTATTCTAATGATGAGAGGAGTTTTCCTTGAGCCTATGCTACTATCATGTGACTGGCTCTTTGGCCATGAATAGTGTCTTCTTAACAAGTATTTAGATGCAGCAGATTATCATTGGCCACAGACAGCACTCAGAAAGCTCCAGGCTGGGAAACAGAAACTTCTACAAGGGGAAGAAAACTATGTATTTAACCCAAGGTCAAATGTGCCTTAGAGAATGTAAAAGACTTTTGTTAACAGCTGTAAGAACTATGCACTAGAATATAATAATGAATAAAACATGGTCAACTGAGATGTAGAAGTAAGTCTAAAGTGAAATTAGTTGTATGATGGAGGCATTGCCAGTATCTCCAAGGAGCAGGGAGAAAAGTGTAGTTTGCCCTGTCCAGGGAAGTGCAAGCTGGGTACAGATTGGGAATTCAGTTCATTCTGTTGAATGATAGCGATGGTTTAGGAGGGGATATTTGACCTGTATTTTCAAGGGTATATTTCAGCTAAAAGTGAGGTGTACTATCTTCTAAGTAACCAGGAACTACTGCCAGAGTACATCATGTTGGGGAGATGGCGTAGAGTTTTGTGTGGCCAGTGTATACCTTATATGGAAGAGTGTGACTACAGATTTAGGTCAGAATGTAAAGGATCCAAGTAGCTACACTGTAGGCAGTGAGTATAAAGGGCTGTGTTTGTTTTAAGTGGGAAAATGCTATCAGTAGGCTTATAGTCCAGGTATCTATTCTGGCAGCAATGAAAGGAAAGGCTACTGGGGTAGGGTATCAGAAGCTACCTTTTAATTAGATACCTTTATAAAAGAGCACCACAAAGGGTATTCATCTAATTAAAGGTGTCAAGGGGTAATGAGATCCTCAAAGAAAAGAATCAAAGGACAATAATGTTGGATGCAACATGGATGAGAGGCAGGGAAGAGCTTTCTGATACCAAGCATAGGCAGAAGATGGCCTTGCTACTAAGCAAGGTGGAGACTATGTAGGTGGCGACTGTTTCAATCACAGCAATGGCTTGGTCTATTGCTGGGGCTGTCGATGTCATAAGTCCCTCCTCAGGGCAGGATATGTCTGATATGTCCCTAGGCAGAGGAGAAAGACCTGGAGAGGAGGTGACAGTGAGGAAGCAGAGTAAATAAATGAAAATGATACATGAGCTCTCCTGTAGGAGTTGTGAACTTCAAATCGTTTGATAACAAGATTGTTCCAGATTGTTCCTGGAAAGAAAGGAAAATGAGATGGCTGTGCACACGCTCAGTCCCTTTTGTTTGCTATAACAAGGGGTTATAGGCTAGGCGGCCTATAAACAACATACATTTATCTCTCATAGTTGGGAGAATAGAAAGTCCAAGATCAAGCCACTGGCGGATTTGATATCTGATCACAGCCTGCTTTCTGATTCATTGGTGAACCTTTCCCATTGTGTGTTCACATGGTAGAAGGAGGGAAAAGCAATTCTCTGGGGCTTCGTAAATGAGGGCTGTAATCCCAATTCTGAGAGCTCCAGCCTTAGGACCTAATCATATTACAAAGGCCTCACCTCTTAAATCCAATCACATTTGTGGTTAGGTTTCAAACATAAGCATTGTAAGGGAAGGACCCAAATATCTAGGCTGAGCTATGTTGTTGAATATAACATCCAAGATATATTTTGAGTGCCGGAGTTAAGAAAGCACACTAACTTTGAAGGTGATTATGATAAATAGTTACTAAATAGTAACAATCAGCCCTGTCGGTCCATGCCCAGGCTTTAAATCTCAGGAAGGCAAATCACCTCCCTTGTTCCTTTGGACAGGATTAAGTGAACCCTGATTCCCAAGGTCCACTCAGGGTGTCTAGTGATACCCCTGAGATTATTTTTCACTGAAACACAGGGTCACACAAACCAAGAAAGATATTGGTAGGCCCATCTTCGTTTATCTCATTGGGTGATTTTTCTGCATTTCATTTCTCATTCTCTTCTCCTGTGTGTTGCTGCCACTGGAGTGCAAAGATAAAGTCTCCCTTTGTCATGCACCATTCACTGAGATTTCCAGCCATCCTGCCTCCCAGTAGGACACAGAGATGTCTGGGAAACCAGCTATGAGATTTCACGAGGTGCCTTTCTTGGTTGGTGCACCTTGTAGGCTTCTGACAGCCAGTTTGTAATTTCATGCAGTCTGGAAAGCCTTTCTTTGCTTGATCACATCCCTGAGTGCTCACTCCAATCTGTAAGCCTCGTTCCAAATAGGAATCAGAGCTGAGCAAATGGGAAACAACCACCTTTCCACTTCTACGCAATTCAGCAACTATTTACTGACTTTCTCCCCTGCCAACCATCTTCTAGTACTGTCAGGCAGATACAAAGACCTCCAGGGCTGCCTAGGAGAGCCCACAATCAGAACCAATCACAGAAATGACCGGGAGTTGTGCAGATGGGATCTATGATCCTAACATGCAGTAGCCACAGTGAACTGGAGGATCTCAGGTGGGGTGCCCAGAGGGAGAAGATTCTTGCAGGTATAGGAAGTCGTTGAGAGAGACTCCTTGGAGGAGGCATTACTATAGCTGTGCTACAAAATCTATCATGTTTGTCACTGACAGAAGAGACAGTATTGTTGTGGATAGAAGACCTCCAGTAGAGACATAGGGAAGTATAAACAGTGGGGTAAAACACTTTATTCTCACCTATTTTTTGAAATTGTTTTTCAAGAATCTGCCGTTAGAAGCCAAGTATTAAATTTTTTAAAGCAATAATCACCATTACTAAGCACTAAAGAATAGAAAAATTCAAGTTGGGTACTGGTGGCTCATGCCTATAATCCTAGGTAAGCAGGAGGCTCAGATCTGAGGTTCACAATTCAAAGACAGCCTAGGTAGGAAAGTTCGTGAGACTCTTATCTCCCATGAACTTCCAAAGAGTCAAAAGTGGAGCTGTGGCTCAAGTGGCTAGAACACTAGCCTTGAGCAAAAAGCTCAGGGACAGCACCCAAGCTCTGAGTTCAAACCCCCAAATGGGCACAAGGAAGAGAAAACTAAAGAAAGAAAGGAAGAAAGAGAAAGAGAGAGAGAGAGAGAGAGAGAGAGAGAGAGAGAGAGAGAGAGAGAAGGAGGGTAGAATGAAGGGAGGGACGGAGGGAAAGAAATAAAGGATGGAAAAATTTAGTCTTAATATCAGCCTCTTTCAGTATTTGATTTTTTTCCTATGCTATGCATTTGTATTTTTAGAGTTGTAATCAAATGAATATAAAGAAATAGACTAGTATGCAGCCATCGTAAGCAATTTTCCACATTACTTTATGGTACTCAGCATCATTTTAGAGTTAGAATTGTCTGTATAATGATCATATTGGTATTTTAAATACTTTAAAAATATTTGAGTTTTACCTCTTTTCTATTCTAAATAATGTTGTTTTCTTTCTACATATGGTTTTTCCTCTATTTTGGATCAGGTCTTTAGAATTAACTCACCCAATAAAAATGTTTTTAAAAAAGAACTAACTCACCCAGTTACAGTTACTAAATGAAGAATACAAATATTGTTATAGCCATAAAGGAAGTCTTTTGGAAAACCAATCGGTGGCATGCATTAAACTTTAGTGCTTCCAGCAACAAATGAAGGAATCTCCTTCACTGTAGCCACAGTGTTATTAACAACAAATCCAAACCAACACTCAACTTTAATCCTTGCAAACAAGGGCAGCTTGGCTGTGTTTTTAAATTTGCATTTCCTCCATGCCATATGTATTTGTCACTATGTATCCCCATTTGCAGCCAGTTCTGTTTGTATTTTAGTCAGAAGCTCTCATTTTTACTGCAGAAAAATGGAAAAGTATATGAGCAACTATTGCAAATGCTCCCAGCAAATAATGTGTTGAAAATCATTTATAATACTGTTTTAGTTTCAGTAAAAAAAAAAAGAGGTATACAAGAGCAGAGGGAGTTTAGTAATCCTTTACCTAGCAACTGTGGGGAAAAAGGAAAGAAATTCAGATGTATACTGGAGCCTGTGTCTAGAATGCTACATAAATTAAATGAACTGGAACCTTGTATCATATCCACGCTGTGAGCTCCCTCTGCTTCTGGTTGTTGATCTGGGGAAGAGGAGCTCTGTAACACCTCACTCTTGGTTGTAAACCTCTCGCAGGTAACCAGTGTCCCAGAAGAGCAGATCCTTGTGGCTGTGTTCCCTGGCCTTCCCACGTCAGCAGAGCTTTTCATCCTCCCACCCAAGAATCTGACGGAGAGGAGGAAAGGGCATGAGGGAGATCTGGAAGAAGTAAGTGAAGGAAATTTGGCTGGGACACTTGGCTGTTCACCTTGTAAACAGAAACAACGTTCTCGTCCTAAAAGGGCATCAGTTTCTCTCTCATTCACCTGTCAGCCTAGGGCTCTCTGCCCAGCACCCAGGATTTTGAAGAACACTCAACTTTAACCACAATAAACACAAAGGCTAAGCAAGCAGAGACACAGTAGGAGTGTACTGTGGCATTCTTGATTCCAATGACTGCCTTTCCTGAACCTTGCTCAAGTTTCCCTTCCAAAGTTCATTCTGAAGGGCAGGAAATGGGGGTAGAGGCAGGAGCTCGCCCTAAGAGATCCTGGCCAATTTAAGTTCTGCTTTAAGAGAGGAAATGAACTGCTTTTAAACACATTTCTTTGGAAAGAGAGATGGATTGCCACATCTTGCTTTGACTAAAGAGGCAGTATTTCCATAAGGGTCTGTGATTTACTGTCCTTATGAAATGTTCATAGAGTTCCTTTGATTTACACAAACCCAGAGGCAAAGGGGGCGGGGCGTCTGCTGTTTCTCCCCAATCACTGAATGCTCCTACTGGGGTCCTATTGGCTGTACTCTGTCACCTTTCCCCACATCTCCATGATGCTAAGTCTGGAGAAGTGGAAAGAAACAATGGTGGCGGAGCTGATGAAAATCTGCAGGAGTCAAACAACTATGCTCCTGTTTGAAGTAACAATTGTGCACATACCATTTCTGTCCCTTGGGTGTTCACCTGTCCTGGCTGTCACTACCCCATATCTGTGCACAGTCCGTAGCTGTCACTGTGGTCAGCTGCTTTACACTATATGTCAGGGTGGCATATTGACCGTTGGCCAGGATTAAATCCAGCTTCTCACCACACATCACATTCCCAAGACCTCCTAATTCTGAAATAGCAAGTGCGATGTGTGTGGACTCTATTTCGAAGCTATAATATCCATCTGTTTAGATAAATAGGTAATTACTGTGATGAATGGCAGCTGTGATATTAAGGCAAGTACAGTGAGATAAGAGTTAGGGACAACAGCTGAAGACTGCCGCAGCTTTCATGTGGAATTACAGAGTGATTAAATCGATGTTATGTGTTTCTGAGACTTGCTGGGGAATGGTAAAGAGGAAAAATTATCCCATAAAAAAACACCCACAGGCAGCTTCTGCTTTGATGTGTGCCTCCCATTGTCTCTAAGATAGAAAATGCAGAGGGGTGGGTTGGGCTTTCCTGCCTGCTTTAATCTTGGCAGGGGGGTTCCTCACCCTGTGAGAGTTACTTGATCAGATTAAAGAGCTAATGATGAGTTGACTTTCTTTCATTGGAACCACCACAGGTCTTAGGTTATCAAGGCAGGGATGAAAGAGCTCTGAGGTAGGAGTTGAATGAATTACTTATGTCAGTTCCAGCTCTGAACAAGATAGATATGCCTCTTTAGATCGCATTCTTCCTCCCCCTACCCCAAGGAAACAAATAGCACCAGCTAATTCCGTGGGCTCCTGTGGCTCTGGGGCCTGTGAGAACCGAGTGGCTAAAGATGCTGTTCTTGTATCCTGGCCTCTGATTGAACGTGGTCATTTGTTGTTGATTGGCAGATAGGGAGCATCATCCCTGGTCATCTTTCCATGCAGCCTCTTGCTTCTTTTCCAGATTGTAGAGACACTGTTTAATGCTCTCAACCAAAACTTGGTCCAGTTTGAACTGAAGCCAGGGGTCCAGGTCATTGTATACGTCACACAGCTGACATTAGGTGAGTACCTGTTGGGGCTCGCAAGGACATGGGTGCGAAGATCTGTTATCCTAGAGAGAAAAGGGAGGGCATAGTCATCAAAATCTCTTCCACAAGATCATGTCTTCCTGGAGGCGTTGTGAGGGGATGGCAGGAAGACTTTATTAGGAGTAGTCCTACCAGTGAATCCTGGGGTAGTCTTGAGAAAAATTACATTTACTTAGCTTTGTGTATGTAGTTATTTTTATTCACAACAGTGGAGATGACACTGGATAAATACTTGGTATCTTTAAATTTCTTTGGGTTCCTAAGTCTATGAGACTTAGTTGGGAAGTCAGATCAGAAAACATTAAAATCCAGTTTTAAAATAGATAAGTGTAAGTAGAAGCATAGATCAGCTCTAATTGGATAACTTACAAAAGGAAAAATTAATGTCCATGTCCCATTGGACATTGAGTTGTGGCTGTCTCTCTCTGGGAGAACCTGTTGACTCAATGGGTTTTTACTAATAATGGCAGATTTTCAGATGTAGACATTCCCAATGTGCCCATCCAATAGCATTTTACCAGATGATAGAGGAGAATAAAACATTGCTAAGTACTTAACCCAAAGCTCCTAGCAAGCTACCATATTGTCAGGAAGGCTAAGAGGATATTCAAATCTTCTATGCCCTCCTGGGGCATAGTCCGTTTATACCAAGAACAAGTTTCCCAAATGCACAGCAGAGGAATTGACATTTTTGTAATATTGAATATTCAATACTGAAGACAAGTTTCCTGTGTCCCGGTAGCAGGCAGAGCAATTGGAAACTGGAAATTAGGGTGTTGATCGGTTGGCTCAGTTTCCCCAACAACTACTTGCTAAGTAAGCATGTCTGTTTTTCTGTCTTAGCTCCATTGGTGGATTCCAGTGCCGGACACAGCAGCTCAGCCATGCTTATGCTCTTGTCAGTGGTGTTTGTTGGCTTGGCTGTGTTTTTGATCTACAAGTTTAAAAGGTACATGTTACTCTCATGAGTGGGTTCATCTCAGATGATTCTTCCTATGATCACTTTCCCCAACTCATTTCAAGAATGTGATCTTAGCTCTCCTTGAACCTATTTTTGGCACCTGAGGAAAAATAGGAATGTTTGAGGGCCAGAGAATAAATGAGTGTAAGAATCAGACCGGTATCCAATTTGTAGCAATAATATGTTCACAAAATGAGAGCTGTGAGTATGAAATGCATTCTAGAATCTTCAAGAGAAGTGTAAAAATATTTTCAGTCTCATTTGAAATTTTAAAATAAGGGCACAGATATTCAGGGGTCTTTGGGAGGTCCTTTCATACAGATCAACACCCATGCAGGGCTATTAAATAGAGAAAATGCAGCTGAATTTCTGTTTCTCTTTTTCTTTCACACCCATATACTTTCTTCCCTTCTGTTGCAGCCATCCAATATGTCAGTTTAAATTTCATGATCTATGTCCAACCTTCATCTCTCTTTGCCTGTGTCTAAAGGAAATTGATCAGGAAAGGCAAACTCTGCATGTATTCAGAAATAAGGTTTGAAGACCTCAGAAGGGCTATTATATCAGGCTACTTACCAAAAGGATGACATTGAAATCAATGATTTTGAACTCATATTCAAATTATATAATACTTCCCCCAGGAAGTGGACTGTTTTGAGAGTATGAATCTTGAAGTCAGACCGACTCTTAGCTATTAGAATTCATATTCTTGGAGGATTGTGTTTGCTTCTCTCAGCCTTAGTTTCCTGATCTGTAAAATGAGGAAAACAATAATAGTTTGGAGGTTTGCTATACAATTTAAATATAATAACAGCTATAACCTGCCACAAACAAATAATCAAGGAAGCTAACTTATTTTCTGTCCTACAGAAATGCCATTGTACCACAAAGTGGCACATACTAGATTCTCAAAAAATCTTGCCAGTGACATAGTGATATTATTGGGTGAATTTTTAAAAAGCATAGCTGAGCTCTGGTAGACCTTGGAGTTAACATATTCCTTGTGAATCTGGAAAGCAAATAGCAAACATTATTTATTCTACCTGTCCTTACCCCGGGCTCTCCTCCAGTGGATAGTCCACTTAAAATGACTGGTTTTACATGACTGCTTCCACAGCTTCCCATGCCTACTAGAAGGATGGAGTGATGCCTTCTAGTCAGCTTACAGACCTGGCTGTGAGTTCATGTCCTTTGAGGTCAAGGTGGGAAAAACAGCTAGCCTGTAGCCACTTTGAAAAGAGGAAACACCTTTGTGTCACAATTAGAGAAGTGTGAAAGATCTGTTATGGCAATCTTATTTGTGGAGGCACTTCAATTACATAAAATGAAAATTCACTTATGAGAAGGTTCGATGTGGAGGACCCCGATGACTACTGGGGACTGTACATCAAGTAAACCAAATTTATGACCTCTGGGTTTATAAAACTATGGATCTATGGTTGCTGAACATAAATGCTAATATAAGTCTTGCAAAGAGACGTGTATGTGTGTGTGTGTGTGTGTGTGTATGTGTGTCTGTCTGTCTCTGTGTGTCTCTGTGTGTGTTTGAGATACATATCCAAATTAAAGTAAGACTATCTTATGACATAGCAACTTCCCAATTTTTCATCAATGCTGATAAACTCCCTTGATAGTCAGCTTATATTATAACGATCTCTAAGTTTGTGCACTTTAGTGCATGAATCCATGCCAGGTAATGGAATTGCTATATTCTTCTACTTTTATAGTTCTCAGTTATCAGCCAGCCCTTTCTATGTCTCTAACTGGATCAATGGCAGTCAAACTGTATAAACAGTAGTCATCTATCAGTTAACCTTTACTTTTCTAGCTCTTTTTCCAGAAGTTTTCCTCCCAGAACTATAACCCTTTGGTTGAGACCCTATTGCATTATTTGGTTTTATTTTTTTAAAGAAAAAACTATGCCAATTTTACTTCAAGTATTGCCATCATTTTTAAAAATGTTTAAGTGATTACATAAATTTCACGGTATTCTGAGATAACCTCTTTCCCTCTCATTCCCTCCCTCCCATCGCTGCCCTTGAGCTGCTTAGTTCATTTTCATCAATGTCCAGGGCAGCGGATGGGCCCCTCTGTTGTATGGTTTCCCGTTTCCCTCTGACTCTTTGTTCTCCTCCTTGTTTGCTCCAGATGTGTGTGTATATGCCATATATGTGTCAACAGGATAGGGTCATTTAGTAATGATTAGACAAGATGAGTGGAGGTCCTTTGTTTCTTGAGTCCTGTTTGCCTTGTTGTATCTCCTTACATTTTGTATTTAACATCCACATATCAGGGACACCATGCACCATTTTTTTTTTGCTCTTGGCTTACCTTGCTTAAAATGATTTTTCAACATTGTGTTTTGTACATCTCACTGTTACAATGGGTCAACCTGTATCTTTATTTAAGCGTTTTGTTATATCTCTTCTCTTCCCCAAATTAAAAAAAATGTATATACAAGATACAGGACATTGGAATCAGATACAGTGGATCATATACAAGAAACAAAAGAATCACATAGTACATTATAAGTATGTTAAAAAACAATAGCAAGAAAGAAGAAAAACCACTATGTTCCTGTCTTGGGGTTCATTTTGCTTAACATCATCTGTGGGGAGGGAGGATTTGGGGAGGTAGGGAGGGAAGGTAAGGTAGGGGAAAAACAAAGGAGGAGGTAACAATGCTCTGATAGGAAATGTACTCAATGCCTTACTCATGTAACTGTAACCCCTCTGTACAGTATTTTTACAATAAAAATATATATGGAGGGCTGGGGAGGTGGCTCAGTGGTAGAGCGCTTGCTCTGCATGCCTGAGGCCCTGGGTTTGATTCCCCAGCACCACATAAGCAAATAGAAAAAAGCCGGAAGTGGCGCTGTGGCTCAAGTGGTAGAACGCTAGCCTTGAGCTGAAGAGCTGAGGGACAGCGCCCAGGCCCAGAGTTCAGGCCCCACGACAGGACCCAAAAAAATATATATATATATGGAAAAATTTTTAAAAATAATTTTACAGTTCCATCCATTTCCTTATTAATGCCATTATTTTTTCTAAGGGCTACATAATATCCCATTGTATATAGGTACCACAGTTTTTGGATCCATTAATCTGTAGTGGGGCATCTGGGTTGTTTCCATATCTTGGCTATTGTGAACAGTGCTGCAATGAACATTGAGGTGTATGTGTCCTTGTATCCTGGTTCTTGTTCCTCAGGGTAGATGCCTAGGAGTGGTATGGCTGGGTCATATTTAACTTTCAGAGGTACCTCCAGACAGCTTTCCAAAGTGGTTGTATTAGTGTACATTCCCACCAGCAATGCAGTAGGGCTTTTCTTTCTCTGTATCTCCTCCAGCATTTGTCATTGGCTGAATTTAGGATGTGGGCCATTCTCTCTGGGGTAAGGTGGTATCTCAGGGTTGTTTTAATTTGCATTTCCTTTACAGCCAGGGATGGTGAACATTTCCTCATGCATTTCTTGCCATTTTTATCTCTGTTCTGAGAAGTCTCTCTTTAGTTCCCTTGCCCATTTAGTAATTGGTTTGTTAGGTTTGGGAGGGATTAGTTTCTTGAGTTCACTGTATATGCTGGATATTACGCCCTTGTCTGATATATTGCTGGTAAATATTTTTCCCAATTAGTTGACTGTCTTTCTAGTTTGGTTGCTATGTCTTTAGCTGTGCAGAAATTTTTATTTTAAGGCAGTCCCATTTGTTGAATCTCTATCTAATTTGTTGTGACCTGGAACTCTGTTCAGAAAGTTCCTGCCTGTGCCTATAAGTTCAAGTGTCTCTCCTACTCTATCCTGCAGTAGTTTCAGAGTTTCAGTTTTGATGTTAAGGTCTTTAATACATTTTGAGTTGATGTAAGTACGTGGTGACAGGTTGGGGTCCACTTTTAGTTTTCTGTGGCTGCCCTGTTTTCCCAGAACCAGTAGTTGAAGAGGCTATGCTTCTTCCACTATATGTCTTTGGCTACTTTGTCAAATATCAGCTGACTGTAAGCATGTGGTTTTATTTATGGATATTCTAATCTATTCCATTGGTCTTTGGGTCTGTTTTTGTATTAGTACCTAGCTGTCTTTATTATTATGGATTTATAGTAGAGCCCAGTATCATGATCCCTCCATGTTTTTGTTTTGTTTTGTTTCATTTTGCCTAGAATTGCTTTGGCTATTCTAGATCTTTTGTTGTTCCATATAATTTTTGGATTGTTTTCTCTATTTCAGTAAAATATGTCATTGGGATTTTAATGGGAATTGCAGAGAATTTGTAAATCAATTTTGGCAGTATAGCCATTCTCACTATATTAAGTCTGCCTACTCAAGAACATGGAAGATCTTTCCATTTCTTGATGCCCTCTATGATGTCTTTAGGCTTTTATACTTTTCATTAAATAGTTCCTTTACTTCTTTGGTTAAGTTAATTCCTAAGTATTTTATTTTTATTTGAGGTTATTGTGAAGGGGGTTGTTTCTTTGATTTCCCTTTATACTTGTATGTTGTTGGTATATAGAAAGGAAACGGATTTTGGGGGGTTAATTTTGTATCCTGCTACTTTACTGAAGTGGTTTATAAGTTCTAAGAGTTTGTGGGTGGAGTTTTTGGGATCATTGAGGCATACTGTCATGTCATCTGCAAAAAGGGCTAGTTTAACTTCTTTCTTCCCTATGTGGATCCCTTTAATGTCTTTATCTTGCCTTATTTCTCTGTCTAAGGATTACAGAACTATATTGAAGAGGAGTGGTGAGAATAGGCATCCTTGCTTTGTTCCTGTTTTTAAGGAGAATTGGTTGTAGTTTTTCCCCATTAAGTATAATATTGGCTATTGGTCTGACATATGTAGTTTTTATTGTTTTTTTCGGGTCCAGTCGTGGGGCCTGAACTCTGGGCCTGGGCACTGTCCCTCAGCTCTTGAGCTCAAGGCTAGTGCTCTACCACTTGAGCCACAGCACCACTTCCGGCTTTTTTCTTTTTGCTTATGTGGTGCTGAGGAA